CAATGCGCTCGGGACGTGCCTCAATGCCCCCCCCCCCCCTCCGTCTTCAGACACACCCTCCATTGTCTGGCCCCCGTCCATATCCCCGCCGCATCCAGCACCCTTTTGCAACCCGACAGAACCACACAATGCTGCCTCAGCCACACCTCCACGTCCTGATCATACAACGCTTCATTATAAAGGAACACGGTCACAACCTTTGTCTCCAGGTCCGACAGTAACCGCGTCCTCATGGACGTCAGCGGCTTCTCCCCTGCCTTCCCCTCGAAACGGGCAAGGAAATTTTGCAGCAGAATGTTGGTGTTGAAGCTCACATTGAACGCCCTCCCCCCCGGCAGAGCAATCAATCAATAGAGGTCCTCCACCTCCACCCGCAGCATCCCAAGCACCACCGACCTCACAAAGGTCGTTCTATCCAGTGTCACCTCCTCCTCCACGTCGTCCTTGAATTCCACCCTGACGCAGTTGTGCCTCCTGGCGTGCGTTGGCGTCAAGCCCACCCCGGCTCCACTGGGCCACCTCCCCGCTCCTTCGCTGGGTCTCCCCGCTCCCACCGGGCCAGCGTTCACTGTCCTCTCCCTACACTGCCCCTCCCCCGGCCCCTGGGCTGCAGGCGCCTCTCCTGCCCCTTCCTCCCCATTCTGGTCGGGGACACTCCCAACCCATCCTCCCGGCGCTCCCCCTCGGTCTCCTCCCCGCTCCTCCCTCCCCGCACTCTCCAGCCCATCCACCTCCTCCACTCCCTTCCCTCGTTGCGCCTCACCCAACATCACCCCCACAACAGACGGGCCCGCGCCACTCCTCCGGTCGCTCTCAGCACCACGGGCGCCTTCCTTGGTCCGCGACGTGCGCCACGACTCCGTCTCCATCCCCGCCATCTCCATGTGACCGCTGCAGCGGGGTCACTCCTCCCGTGGCGCCTGTGGCTCCCCCACCCTCCGGCAGTAAGGCCACCCCAGACCTCCCGGCCTGGGGCCCTCGCACACCCCAGGGTGGCTGGAGAACCCATGGGACACCGACGAGCGCCGCAGTGGTGCTTCAGGAAGAACAGGAACAGGAACGCATTTTACTGGTGATTACTCCAGCAGCATCGGGCAATTCGCCTGAATGGTAAAGCCCTCGCTTGCTCCCGGTCGTAAATAGAGCAGCAGGGTGACGTCATCATTTAACTCATTTCAGGTGCAGTGATTTGAGGTGGAGGGGGGGGGGGTATTGTAATTATATAATCGATTGGTAATCAGTCAATGGTTATGATTAGTAATGAGTTGTAGATTGGTAATTAGTTGTAATGTGTTTTATTGTGTTTATATGCTACGTTAATAATCCATTAATTAGTATGTGTTTCCCCTATAAGGAATTGTAATATGTATTATTTAATCATACGCTTCCAAGCCGCACTAAGCCTGTAGCTGTCAGAGCGATTAAAGTTATTTCTATTCCTCTCAATTTCAATGGATTCTCTGATTAGTCTTTGCCAGTAATAATTAGTTTTACACAACACTTCAACGTTATCAAAATCAATTGAGTGTCCTTGTTGACAAGCATGTTCTGCCACTGTCGACAGTTGTGTTTGAGATAATTTAATATTTCTTTGATGTTCTTTTAGTCTTATGCTGATGTTGCGTCCCGTCTGTCCAATATAGCATCTGCCACATAAATAATTAATCCGATATACACCTTCTGTTGATAATTTAGGTAGGGCGTCTTTAGTGCAAGATACTAGTTTTTGAATGTTGTGTACTGTACCAAATCTTACTGTAATGTTTTGCTTTTGCAAAACACGGGCTAATTTGTCAGTTACTCCTGAGATATATGGAATTTTAATTGTTTTAACAATCTGATCGCTTTCAGCAGTACTGCTTTGCGATCGTGATTTGGCATTCAGTGCTCTGTTAATTTGAGCATTATTATAGCCATTCTGTCGTAGTGCTGCCTTAACGTGTTTGATCTCTCTCACTAGACTTTCACCATCTGACACTGTTTTAGCCCGATGTATGAGCGTCTTGATAAGAGAGGATTTCTGAGCTGGATGATGATGTGAATCTGCATTCAGATAGGCATCAGTGTGCGTTTGCTTTCTGTAAACGCTGTGTGTTCTTCTTCTTTGGTTCTTTTTGTGTGTTCTTTTACCATTTAGGCCATGTCCAAGTAAAATATTTAGGAACGGGAGTGTGTTATTCACCTCCATTTCCATGGTGAACTGGATGGCCGGGTTTTGTGCATTGAGATGATTTAGAAAATCATTAAGTGTATCTTTACCATGTGGCCAGACAACCAAAGTGTCATCCACATATCTAAACCAAAAAGATGGTTTTAATGTGCTCGAGGCAAGTGCTCTTATTTAAAAGTTTTCCATGTACAGATTTGCTATAGCACATCCGAGCCATGCTGGGGCCATGCCATGGCAGCGTGGTGATTCTCAAGAGGCATGAGATACTTTTCCACTGCACAAGTTGACCCATGCTATTGTTGTCACATGCAATTCTGGATATCAAGACGACTGTCGATGACGCAGTTATACTGAGTTGGGTTGACTGATATCACGCTAATTGTGAATCAGACATGCACACACAAGTATACTTTACACAACACTCTGCGCTCCTCTTTGGGCTGAGAGGTACCACACCAACGAACATGTTAAACATTACAATGAGGATTGTCACCAGCAAAATAAAGTTAAATATTTTACTCTGGCTCTCTGTGCTCTAGAACATGTCTCTTATAGATGCCTGCAAACAGCAAATAAATATTCATGATTACAGCTGCATTTAATCAATCAGAGAAATGGCGAAAGATTTGTGTGAACACTAATATGATTAAGAAGCATCGGATTGCTGATCCCACTAAAAAGAGATTCAATCTACCTTAAAAACAATAGTTTACATTTAACCAAAAGTATGTAAATCATGGTGGATCAGCATTACTACTTTCACAAGTACAAATTGAAGACCATGGCATGCAATTGCAGAAACGTAGATCATATAGTGAACCATTGCCCTCCAAAAATGAAAAACATGCTTTAAAGAAACCCACCACCCATCAACTGAAGGCTTTTCATGCGTAATTAATTTAGACGTAGATTTGTAAGTTGCTATTCATTCAGATAGAGAAAAGAGAAAGAATCGGAGGACAATTCTTCAGAATGACAACAGGTGGAAAAAACCGAGACAAAGATGTCAAGACATTATTTATTTTATAACACGCGACTATCTATTGCGATCAGAATTTCTGAATATTTACTCAGAGACAGCAATGTAGTAAAGCCCTTTGTCAAACTGATGTTAGATAAAGACTCAACCATGCCGTTTCAGTTGTGTGTATTGTTTGACCGTACATCTCCACGCTGGTTCGTGTGAGTTGGTGAAGAGGGGAGGATCTGGACAAGACCAGTTCAGATGCCAGTGATGCTAGCCGTGGCTGGTCACAAACTCACATTGCCAGGATCATGGAACATTGCGCAAACCACTGCACCACCTTTGCACCCCCATTTCTATGTCAATCTACTGTGCTTCAAGTATTAAACAGGTTGATTTTCTTACAAAGTGCTCATGCGATGTTTATGTCATAATAATGAGCCAGCATAGCCGAGATTATGGATTATATACCCCAAGCGCAAATGGTTGCAGGTGGATGGTTTGGAGGTGATACCAATTCCAACTTGAATTTTGCAGTTCATACAATTCATGCAGTTTCTCAAAACAGCTCAGCGCGAGTAAAACATTCCTAATATTATGGCTACATATATATTAATTTAATTATTTGACCGTACCATCTGAAAAATCAAATACAGCTTTTTTTCACACTGCAAGGCACCACTCTGAAGATCCCATTGGAGTTAAAATCAGGTTCTTCTGTGTTTTTGCACAATTGTAAAAATGTGTTTTCGTATTTTTTTGTGGATTGTATGAAATCAACAAACGAAACCATAATTATTTTGTACAGTACAGATGTACAGCCCTGTTGTCAATTGAGTCGTGACATAGCCAACACGGTGGCGTGTAGCATAGTATGGACAGACGTCTCGCAAAAAACATTACCAATCAGCAGCGTGTACAAAATTATTTGGCATGTGTTGTGACGGGTACTGCAAGATCTGATCATGTTCGTCCGGTTGCCAAACGAATAGATTATAAGGTCGCACTTAATACACACAAAGTGCTTGCCACAAATTAACCACAATGCCTTGCTGATCTCAAGGAGCATAAACCATCACACAAACTCTGGTCATTATCGCAGTGGCTTTTAGCGAGCCATCGAACAAAGTCGGTCACTGCATCACGAGCTTTCAGATGTGCTTGTGCGGCCGTCTGGAATGTTCTTCCTTTCGATATTAGCAAGCCACTGGATCTATGCACATTAACATGGAGAATGAAAACTTATTTCTTTAGAACTGATTTTTGTGCTAAGTTTTTTGTCCTTCCCGCGCAACTCTGATTCGCACGGTTGGGTATGTGCAGTGCGAAAGAACTTCAACATACATTTATACATATGGATTATGTGTGTTATTTAGCTAGATTGCACAACTTTAGTGAGTGGGGGCTGCTGAAGAGGGGTTGCATAGATTCACGTGACAGCAACGAATCTTGCTACATTTTCCCCTATTGCCCACCACAGCATGTTAAAATTAATATATACTTTGATCCATCAGGCTTCATTGTGCATATTTACTTCATTAAGCAGATCCCTACAGGAAAGCAAATTTAGCGTGGCAATGACCAGTCATCACAATGTTTGTGGAAAGCTCTCACCTACAACATCTCGCTGCCTGGAATTTGTTGAATTGGCCACGCTGCTGATGAGACTCTGAAAGCATAAACCATCCCCAAGTTTCAGGGATGCTCCCAAGTGTAAATTGGTTGACGCAGTGATATAAAAGCATAGGAACTGGTGTCGATGTAACATTATTTCAAAGGGTGATAATCAGTAGTCTTAGCAATGAATTGTATATGTCAAATAATATGCATGCTGAATGTTTGTTCTCTGCCATTTGCTACCTGCAGAAAAAAACATTACAATTTCTGCTGTAATTGGGAGCTTCATTATTTTGTTGGTGGCCTTATTGATTTATCGGAAGAAGAAATGCTTATACCCCTTTGGTAAGAAACATTACAGCATTTTATGTAACTTGCATTGTTTCATAATGAGCCCAATGCTTCATGAGTGGCCCATCCGTGATTCATGAGACAACTAATAAGGGCTGTAGATTAATTGGAAGATTTCCCAAAGCACATCACAAAAAACTTGAAGGAAAATGGGCAATGTCCAAGATAAGACTCTGCAGTACCCCTGCTTATTACAATGTTATTGAGTATAATTTGCATAATGCAAAATATTCACTTAAGTTTCTAGTCAACAATTATGAATGTGATGTATCTCAATATCGACACCACTATGTATATATAATAATTGTATTGTGTTGATTTGTTTCAATGTTTTCTTTGTTCGTGCTGCACACTACTCTTCAACGTAACGAACGTCAACAAAATGTCACCAAACATCTTCCTAAATATTTCAAAGACACAAAAACACCCCACAACTATAAATGCTTTATGGCCACGCCAAACTTGACAATTCATTAGGACCTTCAGAACCTCAGAAAGTCTAGATTAATATCCTGGAACCCACTGTGAGATCGAGCATGAGCTCTCAAAGTGCCCTCATTCAACTTGAGTCCTGGGAGTGAGTCACCTGCAACACTGGCAAAGTCCCTAACCAGCACAGAATCACAGAGTTCACGGAAAAAACTACCAAATACAATTTGCCCTGCACAAAATCGCTTGTATTTATCTGAATCAGAACATCGCACGGCAGATGTGGCTATATTATGCACTGAAAATTTAAAAATAGCACACAGTGTGATAGCAGACACAATCTCAAACCTTGGAGTCTGGCACTACCCGCTTTAAAAATTTACTTGTAGAATTTCAGATAATCATCAGACTCTTCCAGCAACCGTTCACTGGTTCAGCAATCACGACATAAATTTAGCTGATCAGCTTCCACCCATACGAAGGAAAATGTGTTACTCTACAATATTAATGTACATTGATACTGTCATCCAAGTAATACACTGTTTAACTGCATGCCTATACAGGTCACCATAAGTCGATGGGGATTACCTGTAAGCAGATAATAACATTTAATGTTATTTTCGTGCACACAAACGACAGGATGTACAAGAACAATGTGCATGCATAATGTGCGTTGATTAACATATGAATAATCCAACCAGCAATGCATACCCATTATAATGTATATGCATTCCTGGCCTTCGCAAGCGAGAGGCTCACAAGTGAAGACATCACATCTATTCCTCTATTTAAGAACGAAACAGGAGGATATCTCCACAAATCTGGCTGTCACCTCATGAAGCTAGTTGTCATTATTGGCGTAACGTCGTACTCAGATTGTAAATGTTGTGGATTTACTCTCCAACACCCCGATGTGCTGCACTAGTAACGAATTGGCATGTTTTGTTTACGTTTCAAACTTTACCAATTGGCTGTGTCGGGTGGTGGCGGGTATAACGACGCATTTATATTTATGCGATCTAATCCAAAAAGCTGTATTATGGATCCAAACATCTGCTTCACATTTAGGACCAGAATTCCATCTTCATGAAACAGCTGACACACATTACCTTGGAGATTTTCCACATTGCTAATAATTGTGCATTTAAGCACAAAATCTAACTTAAATAAATGTTAGTCAAGATATCAGAAACAGTATGTTTTAATCTAGATTTGATGTTTGCGTGGCTTCAGGGATCCATACTCTTTGGTTCTTTCAGTAAAGTCACGTAGGTATAAAATAAAATAAATGAAATCACGACGTTTCGATTGCAACAGAAGCAATCATCATAAGGTGGGAAACCCACAGCAATAAATGTTTTGCTGAAGTGGGAGAGAGAGAGTTGCCGTGGTAAGAGGTTATACAGGCCAGGAAAGTGGAGGAGCAAGGGGGGAGAGGGAGGGGTAGGGGGTGTGGGATAGGGAGAGTGCTGCGTGGTGTAGTGGTACCAGGCGGATATGATAGACGACAACCACTACAAAGCAGTTATATATACACTACAAAGCAGTTAGGGTTTTAGTATGTTTTAGTCGGAATATTTGGTTGATAATGAGAGCTTGCATCATGCACAGCAGATTAATTAATATAAAAATAATAATTGCTGTACAATTGTTTCAGTGGCCATCTAATGACTGATAACAGCATCCTATAATCTCACACCTGTACCGTCACTATGATCACGTGCCTTGCAATCCTTTTTACTCCACGTTTTGAAGTTTACTACGAACAGAGCAGGTTCACTTTTAGACACACTCCCATAATACCATAGTCATAACAGCATAACGCATACAGAATCATCATTAGCAATGCTTTCAGTAGATGCTACTGAGTGGACATGTGTCACGTTGTCTTCTTGTACGGGAACAGGTGATTCTGGCAAAGGGACGGAGACTGTGGCACTTCTTAGTGTGAAAGTGCCCAAGGATGTCCTTGAGGTAAGTCAAGCAGCATATGCTGGGGCCTGGCTCCCATGACATTGCATCACAGGAACTCATGTACTCTTGTGGAGCCTTCCACTGTCTAATTGTGGTGTGTAGACTCTCCAAGAACTATCTTACACCTACTTTTGGTGTGGCGTTGTGGTTTGTGGTGGTGATTTGGTAGGGTCTTAGAGGGTTAGCCGAAGTATTTCCCATCATGTTTTTCAAGACTTCCCTGGGACTCTGCTGGTGCTGGGACTCTGTTGTCTGAATGTTGCCCGATTGTACTTGCTGTGGTCACTGTTTGTCATGTTCCTCGGCCATGGATCTTTCGTATAATTTTTCTCTCTTTTTCTTACTCTGTCTTTTGCTCTATTTTCACTTTTTGCATTTCACTGCATTTTTAATTCGCTTTGAGATGCTGTGGCATTGAAGCTATGAAGACAGATCCTCATCCAATATCAGAATACGAATGTATTGCCAATCGCAATATATTTTCCAATGTCTCAACTACATTTACTCATACAACAAAACCTCCCATGTCACACATTCAATCGCAGCTATAGCTGGAATGATGAATCAATTAAATGTATCCATTAACTATAATATTGTATTGACTACGTTGCTGTGGTCAATTGCTCTGGCTATTTAAAACTGGCAACTGCCCCACTTAATGCCTCCCGAAGATGGGAACCCAGTATACATTCAATGTTGAGCCAACGTTGACATGTGGATGGACCGTTGGACCAATGGTTCCACGCTTACTGTAAATTTCCATACAAGCTCCACTCTGTGACGCGGCTGATGATGCAATGTAGATCACCAAGCTCCTACGTCACTTCCCACCCAACAGCAAATATGGGACCAGAGGTGAGATGTGTTTCCAACTTTTATCTGCATAAGCCAATTCATCACATAATCAATCCAATAACTGGCAGAGTACTCCGAAACAAATATAATATATTCCCCAAAATAACTGGATATCTTAGCTCTAATCAGAATCACTATAAGCATGCATCTTGCTGTAGATACATACGTTCATACAGTATTGGCACTGGAGAACTGAAAACTATCAAAGGAAGATGTATAGTAAGCAGTGAAACTGTAAAATGATGCCTTTTGAAAGTCAGTTATCACCTTTATAACAATTGTGGGATCCTGGACAAATATAGCTCAATGCCTTGGGTAGTCCTAAACCATTAGAGGAAATTCCAGATTACAATGACAGGGGCATTTATCCCTTTACAGAAATGTAAGTGTTTCAATAATATGCACCCAATATGTAACTCTCTTTTAGCAACTCTGGAGGAAGGATGTCAAATAATGCAAGAGTAAAATCTACAACGATAGAAATACCATTAAACAATTCCCATTGTGCCTTCTTTCCCATGTGGACAGGAGCCACGAATGCTCATCGAGAAGAGAATGAAGTCCAGTAATGCTGAGGTTTGGCGGCAGTTCCATGAGTTGCTGCCAGAATTGTATAAATCCATCTCTGAAAACACATTCTATTTCTTGTACGAGATGGATATAAAATACAAGATTAATATACACGTGTACTGTGGGGTTTATGAAATTACTGACATCTCAGCACGTGCAATCTTTATACTCAATTACGTTATTCTTGAGGGTGAGGAGAAGTGCCAAGGGCTCCTGGAGATGATCCTTGCAGGACAGAATAAGCAAACGCAGCTGCAGACCCTGCTTGACTCTGCCGGTATGTGGGATCTGATGGGCAAATGGGCCTCATTGTGAGACTTTACTTCGTTGATAATGGATATCAATACGAAAGGATGAAAATAACTTTTTTGCATAAGTTACATTTTAAGTCACGTAATTTTCTGCTAGGTATGGTTTTAATATGCATTACAGGTAAAATTAGTATTTAAAAACTCGTTAATCATGGATATCAATACGAAAGGATGAAAATAACTATTTTGCATAGGTTACATTTTAAGTCACGTAATTTTCTGCTAGGTATAGTTTTAATATGCATTACAGGTAAATTAGGATTTAAAAACTTGTTTTTACATAAAAACTGAGGCAATCGTATTGTTGAGTACAGACACATTAAGTAATAGTTTCAATAGCAATATAATAATATAATCTATGCTTCCATCTATTTTTTTCTTGCTGAATAGGAGGCGTTATAAATCTGGGATTCATTTACTGAACTCTGGTTGTGAATGTCTGTTCACATGTTTCACTGGTTTCATTGCAGTAAAATGCTCTCCAACTCTTAATCCAAACACTGCACATGAAGAACTTAACATCTCAGATGATGGGAAGACAGCGGAATGGCTCAAGAGCCCTCCAGAAAAACCCGATCACCCAGATCGGTTCAAATACTGGTCACAGGTGCTGTCTGCTGAGAGTTTCTCTGAAGGATGCCACTTCTGGGTGGTGAATGTGGGGGACGTGGACAACCTTCGTGTTGGTGTCTCTTACCAGAGTATTCTACGTAAAGAACCAGACAGTGCATGCCTGATTGGATTTAACAGCAGGTCCTGGTGTTTATGGAAACACAAGAACAAATACAACGCCTGGCACGACCAGCATAGGACGGAGCTGGAAGTGGGTGAACATCCTCGCAGAATCGGTGTTGGCTTGGACTATGATAAACGGGTTCTGTTATTTTACAATGCTGACAACAATAAGCATCTACACACATTTTATGCTCACTTCTCTGAACCCCTGCATGTTGCCCTATGGGTGTGGTCTGGGGTCCTCACTATTGAGCCTGTTAACAACGATTAAATTGGATATTGGTTTCATAATTTATCCGTGGAGAATAATAAACAGGATCAAATTGCCATGCAGCTCCTCTTAGTTATTTTACATGGATATCACAGGTAATATTGTTTTCTCTACCACATGCACTGATAACCTTTATCTAAAGAATTAAAGGTAAGAAAAGATGTTACGTAAAATATACTTCTCCAAACGTAGTCATTCGGTCTTCAGATGTTTCAACATCCAAATATTTTTTTTCCAATTTTCTGATTATCAAAGACACCCATGTAACCATAATGGACAAGCTGAGCCTTGCCAAACAGTTAAATTTGCATTATAGGAAGGGGTACTATTTGCAATTTCCGAATGGCACAATGTTCTCTTGCTTTGGACTGTAATTGGTCTGCAGCACAGTCCATGGCTTTCCACATATATGTGGATATCACAGATAATATAAAAATTTTCACCCATCTGCTGGTCCACCCACCCTCTTATAATCAGCAAAATTGCAGATAATAGAAACTGCCAATTTGAAGGCACAAATGACAAATGTCTTAACTGCATCGATAAGACAGTTACAAATAACAATAGTTGTACTGTATTTCCACATTGTGCAAATCAGTTGCACTGCACACCCACACATCAGTGCCACTCTACACAACATCGTTTCTGGGCCGATTAACTTCCTGTGGATCCCTTTCTCATATGCTGCGACAAGGCACAATTTCCACATTTTCCGTTGCAGATGAACTCAGCATAATTTTCTACATTGTGTCGTGTAGGCTTACACTGCATGCATACTTGATTGGTGCAAAGTTATATTAATGTGTCTGAGCCTTTGGTCTTGAAAGCAGCCCTGAAAATTGCTGGCTCGTTGGTCAACTGTTAAGGCATCCATTCTCGATCAGCAATTGTTATTGTATATAAAATATCTTACTTTTATATGGGAATTAAGCAATATGTGTTACCAGTTTGTGATTATTATTCATATATTTGAAACACGATATATGGGAAAGTAACCCCCAGAAATAATATCTCAGTCTCTGAAACCTGACATCAGGCCTTTGACTATGAATTAGTAGCAGTGACAGCAAGCACTATGACCACTTGCTGACCCTGTCAGTTCCATGGATGGCTGGAGTGAAGTTGCCTTCACTACTGTATAGCTGTTTATTTTGTGAATTAGTATTAGATATGTAATTATAAATGTAACGGGTCCAACCCATTGTGCCTTACGAATGAAGTGTGGTACAAGGGCTCGCTGAGTTAAGCGATGAACAGAGAGAACCCGATAGAGGGCGCATTGGCGTCGGCAGAAGTGGACTCAGATGCATAATCTTTAAGAGAGTTACAAGTGTTTTCCATTACAGTTAGAAGCATAGAGCTAATACTTTTGTTATATCCACCTTTCAGGGGTGGATAAAAATGTAATGATTCTTTCAACGTGAATTACTTAATGAAGATAACATTTTAAGTTGTAAATATAGAAACCGCTGCAACACAGTCTTATTTGTGCCTCGGGGAAGTCTCAGGGCGGCTGTTAATGCGATTAACTTCGCATTTTAGCCACGCCGTTTGAAACCCATTCAAGGCGGTGAAAAAGGCGCCCATGGTTGTAATTACTATGTCACAACGTTAGGGTGCACTATGCAAATAGCAGGTCACGGCTTTTGGCAGTGTCAAAGGGGTTGTGGAGTGTGGACTTCAGGGTCATGGTGACAACATTTGAGTGCTTTGTTGTTTTGTTTCGTATTTCATGGGAAGGCTAATAACATGATGAGGATTTTCTTAATTAGAACACCAGCTTTTCAGAGGTCACTCACAGCAGCCCCACCTAATGAAAATGTCACGACCCGCCACTGCTATAAGTCATCCACAGCACACACATCCAGAGAGCTCTGTCCTCGATAATATATTTACGACTACACGACTATCAAATCAATTTACAATGTAAGTTAATAGAAAATACCTGAACGTAATATTGAGGGTTAAATATATCATAATTCTGCAAGATTCTGTATACGCAAATTGATGGATTGATGGTTGCCATAAATAAACACTGGCTCATAAATTTGCGTGTCTGTGTCATATTCTCATGTTGGCACAAACACTGCTATAAACTCGTTCATACTGCAGTGTGTCTCCCTGTAGCTATCACCCTGGCTAAGTGATTCCCGTTTTCCGCACTTTCTTGCAATACCTTGATATGGGGTTATATTACTGATGTCATTCATATCTGCAATAGTGGTGAACGGACTTCGCGTGCCTTGATGCTTCCGTTTTAACGCATATTTCCTGCCAGTGTTACGTGAATGGTGCATGACTTAAATGTTGTTTGCCTTGAATGTGTTTGCTACTCCGTGTGTGCAATGTTCATCTGCTGTATTTATTTTTTTATTCCACCAAGGTCCTCCACGCGTCATGTAAAACAACTTATGGCCGAATGTTTCTTACTCATGTCAACAAATAAAATCGATTAAATGAAATCATCACCAATCTTTTCCCGCACGTTCCTGTGCATTCTTGGCCAGTTTATTCTTCTAAGCCTTGGCTGCTGTCAGAAATTCTATCGTCTGCACTCCCATGGTGTATCGCACTCACGAACTGCGTTAACAGCGGTCTTATATAGCCGCCTTTGCCAAAATCTTCTATGATCCGATTATTTGCATATTCAAGGGGCGGAGCATCCACACTTCCACGACCCACTGTCTCGTGTGCATCGGAAAATTCAAACAAAAGTGGTCGATGTTCGTCAAAAATGGGTTGCATATTTCCTTTAATCAAGAAGAGAATGATACCTAATGGGAATAATTTGAGACTGAATACGCACAATATTGAATACATCTGCAAGGGACAATACATTCAAACAATCCATGTCACTTTGACTTCGAGGTTTTGAATGTAACTGGTTAGATTTTAATTGAAAAAGTGTGCAAATACAGTGTTAATCAGCCATTCCCCAATTAGGTGTTTTCCTTTGACTGAATTCACCTACTAGCACCCTCACTACACCAAAAACTCACTCAATGAGCTTCTCAACCCGTTTCCACCGTACCCCCCCCCCCCCAAAGTGACACATCCTTTCGATGTGTCTGCTTTGTGTAGAAGAGTGATTGGTGGTACGTCACGTGCAAAACCACACCAGGAGAGCCCAACAATAATTGGGGTGTAAAGCATTTTATGGAAACCGATGGCCAAGGGGACAACCCACCACGTGTGACCCATGCAATAATGTAGGGAAAAATATATGAACAGTAAATTGCCACCGAGTCCGGAATTCGGTCCCCAATCCGATGGCATTCATTCTCTTTCCCCCAGCTAAATCCACGAGGCAACCTACACTTCTGTTTTGCCATGGTGCCTCAGGTGCCCTTGTGTTGCCTTTCACAACACCCTTATGAGTAAGATATGTGTGTGCAATGTGCTCTCTTCCCCATACTTTGTAAATGTGGGCCCGTTACAATGGATACCTGCACCAGTTATCAACATTAAGGTTGGCCTGTCGACGATGAGCCCTGTGTTTAACTAGACTGGATTGTATGAAGAACTCTCGGAAAACTTTCCTTTTAGTGAGCTCCTCTGGAGATAAAGATGTACTGGCTCGGTCATTTAGCGTGACCAGCCATTGCATGTCCAAACAACTCCTATTTCGATAGAAAGAGTCGGATAAATGGGCATGGCACAGGCTAGAGAGGAAATGGGCTCATATGCTACAGGATTTGGAGCAGATTGTACTTGGTGATGACTGGCACCTGTGGTGTGAATATTGTGTGTATATTTGTGTTTGAGTGCAGTCTGCATGAGTGTGTGTAGTCTGTATGGGTGTTTGTGTAAAATTTATAAATCCCACACATGCTCACTCTCCCCAAACTGCAGGTGAGGAACAACACACATACATGCAAAAAATAAACTCAGCAATTTGTTTATTATGCAAAAAAACATCAATAGGTCTTAAATAAGGTGCATTGTGGTCACTTGTTCTCGGTCATAGTGGAATTTATTATTATTTGGGTTCAGTAACTGACATAGAGAGGTTGACAATTGTAGACCGGTTTGTATTAATTCGGACTCATCGCTACAGTATAGCACCAATACTGCTGCGAAGTCTGCGTCTGGGAACCACATATCTAAAACCCATATTTTCTGGAAGTGCTGATGTTTTTTTGCATAATGCACAAAAACTGGGCACTTTTTTAACACGTTTTTGTGTTGCTGTTTGAAACGTATGGTTTCCCAGCCTGCACTAATTTCCTGTGATGATGTTTTTTTCCCATAATTTACAGACTGATTGCGGGTGGGGAACTGAGTTTTTGTGTGGCAGATAGAGTTGTAGGTGGGACATCAACCATGACATTTCACGGGCATATTCTCGTGCTGCATTCATTATTGTCAAGTTACACCAACTACTTCGTGCAGGCTGTAGCAACAGCACAAAGACTAGCAGACACAATTTAATCCAAAAAGTAGGTTACGTAGATGATGCTCACTCTCAATGATATTTTAAACAGAAATGTTCATGTAAAAAGAAATACATTTTGACCAAATTATGAGGATCACACAATACACGATGGCTACTTTTCATGTAATTTGCAAATTCACGACCAAAGAGAACACGTTTGTCAATTTCCATCTCGCCATAGCTTTTGGTCAATATGATCAGAGCTTTCTGCAAGGACGTTCATAGCGCTGTAAGAATAAAAGGTAAAGGAGCAGCCCTGCAATTTCTTGTGCATGCCGCTTCTGCTGGAAGAGCCCCTTTAGAGGGCATTTGGTCTAATCTTCCACGCTGGACATGTGTTAGAGTACCCACGATTTATGATTCCCACAGGACCTGCCTTACAGACTAACTGTGGTGTAGACATTTACACTGCTGGGATGACAGGTGGGGGGATCTAAGAAACTTTCCCATTGTCTCACCTGTCGTGCCCGGGAGATCGAACCAGTGACCGCTGGATTACAAGTGCTGTAACCAATACACCATGGCATCATCCAGCTGTAGCAATACCGGAATAATACTGTACAGTACTTTCTAAGTGTATCTGTGTGTGTCTCCGTGTCTCTCTGACTCCGTGTCTGTGTGTGTGTCTCACGGTCTTTGTGTGTCTTCGTGTCGGTGTTTTTCTTCGTTTCCGTGCGGGTATTCGCGTGTGTCTGAATCTCATGATTAAAGTAAATGTCGCCCGCGCATTTGCTATGATCACGGGGCATGTTTTTGCTACAAATCGCGGATAAACGAGAGGAAAAGGGGCATTGGTAATTGGCGTTATCGCGGCCGTCTTCAGCTGCCGCGAATAGTCGGAGTCGAGGGTTAAAGCAAGCGCCGTGGATAAGAGTTCCCCTGTACAGTATTCAAATGGCAAGTTAAAACATTTGCCATATATAATTATTTGTCAGTCTCCAGCTTTCAACCCCTCTTATCTTTCTATCCGGCTCTGAAGAAGGCTGATTACCCGAAACGTCACCTATGTTGTTGACACTGTATTTTCATGTACGGCCACAGTGTTATTGATGCACATGTTGAGTTTTTTTGAATGTGTACAAACTTTAAGAAATTGTTTTTTCTAAAGGAAGTCATGCACAACCTCCACGGTATGCAGCTCACATTCTTAACGAAACACTGTACTTGCTTGCTTCAAATACGGTACTCTACTGGTGATTCAGATGTCTTTTGACCCCCCCCCCCCCCAATTAATTGACCCCTACAATGTGTTTCCTTTGCATATTCATTTCTGCTTCAAATACATCTTGACAACAATATAGCGGTTTAGTAGAGAATTAAATGGTGATCACAAGACATGTGGACCACCACCCTGCACAGTGTTTCCAGTTTGACCACTTCTCTGAAACGACACCGAATCGCACAGAATGAGGAACTTGTAAAGTAGCTGCAGTCGCAGTGTTTCGAGATTGCTGGGTGTCGTTAGTCTGGAAACTCGCACGGTACATTCATCTTAGTCTACATGTCCTTTTGAGAGACATTAACAGTGTTTAATAGTTGAGTGTTTTACACTCATAGCGACTGGTGATCCAACTGGGGTATCTTCTGTAGAAATATTGATGAGCCACAAGGCGTATTTGCATGATTTTACAGTGAAGTATCTCTAAAGAAAAGCTACATAACAGCGATATTCATCGTTAGCTTCGTGCTCCACCATTTTGACACCAAGTTTGTAACGATGCAGCCAAACCAAGTGACAGCAATGGCGTTGATCTCTGGCATCATCTTTCTTACGTTCATCTCAATGGTGAGTGTGTAATACAGTTTATACCCACTACGAGAAGACGCTTTCTACTCATCGGCGGCTCCTAATCTCTTTCGTTATCAAACATTGCCTCCCATGATCTCCCCAAGCCTCCGATCACCAATGACATCGAGCCGATGGCAAGTGTCGCTACATCCCTTCTGCTGCCCAAATGGTCTTTTCTCTCTCAACTACCCGCGATTTTTCTCTGTTGCTTCTCTGTGGCGCTCAGACAATGGGAAGTTGCAACTTATTTTGGTCTTTCATTCTCGTTGGATGCTCCTTCAGTTTCGGCTAACCTGTTTCTTGGCGTTAATGTTTGAGATTTTTTTACTATTTAAAAACGAAGTATTTATATCTTCACTATTGTGTATAATTGCATTACACCTTTCTTTCACTGTACATATGAATACTCTTAATATGTCGTCCTAAACTTTGAGGCTCCACGACCATCACAATGCAGGGTAAAACGTTAAATTTGGGATAACACAGAATCTGAATATGTATTTATACTGGATGAATCCGATGAGCTATGAAGCTCTTTTTCGCAGATGTCCAGTACCTATGAGGCAGGTACCACGAACTGTTGAACGCGAAATATTGTTAAATAAAAATCTACATGACTGGTATATACAAAAAAAACGTAAGACTAGCTTTTCAAACCCAACAAAACCATAATATCACGAACATTAGGATATCACATTGCTTCTGTATGTCACTGCTACATAGCAGGCTGTCTCAACCTTACTAGAAGCAGCAGCAAAGCCATTGACAAGGGAAGCATTAATTTGTTCACGAGTTTCAAGACGGGAAATCTGTCAAGCATGACTGGACATCATGTATCACTTATGTGTTTTGGGATAAAAATTGTGGGAAAGTCCAATAATATTATTGTGCTAAATTCACAAAGCACTCTTTCAAGAACTGCCTCAATATTTGAGTTTGACCTCCTCACACAGCTACGCTTTCGGCAAAAAACTTGAGGAGTTTTGGCTTTTTTTGGTCCTTGGCCCTCAGATTTAGAACGCTCTGCCTGAAACCCGACTATACCTGACGGCCGAGTAGTAAATACTACTTATTTACTATGATGCGGTAAATAAACTAGAGATATATTTTTCCGTAGCGCTCTGAAACCCTTTGTTGAAACTGGTGCGGCTTAGAAAACGTCATGTAATGATTAATATTGAGTAAGACCTCGGTAAATGAAGAAAATGCGTTCCATGACGTCACTTCGTTATCAGAAACTTTGTTATCAGGGGTAGATATAACAAATGATGCATTGGGATGCGTTTCAAGACTTCAGAGAGAAGGCGGTAGAAAAGGATAACATGGCCTCACAGTCGTCTTTACTTTGTCTGCTTGGTTTTAAATGATCTTTAAGGTGGACTGCGCTAGCCCTAACGAACTCACCACTTCAATGTCATCTCTCCGGCCTCTACCCTCCTTATGATCTGCATTTTCGTTTCCAAAGAGAGGGATTTACGTTGTACTTTTTGCCAAGTAGGGCCACTTGCATTCGACCAGGGGTCAAGAGCTTTTCAATTAAGAAGAGCCATTCTTTTGGTTTTTGTCTTTGACCAAAATAGTTCGAGAGCCACATCACACGCAGAGCTACTTGTACACAAACATAGCAGGTGACAAATTCTGACAAACAAAATGTGATGGAATAAAATACGTATATTTTTTATATATGTATCCCCCTTAGTTATTCTTTAATACTGTACATTTTGTCGCCACCAAGACATTCTATAGTGACGCATTCCCTGTCGTGTTTAATACATCGCTAATGATCTTTGCATTAAATTATGTTTAAGATTTACGTTTTTTGTTAATAAACGGCTGCCGGCGAGGGGGCAGCCAAAGAGTTGCAAGAGAGAAGCCAAAGAGCCGCATGCGGGCCCGAAGCCACAGGTTGCCGACCCCTGCGCTAAATGGTCATTTGGATGAATTAATGTGGGGGTAATCAAATATTTTTGTCACTGCAAAAAAAACTATACAATTTTATCAACACGATGACCTCGAGCAATGGCGGGCCCGAGAGGGAGACTCCCCAAGCTCTTTGCTGATTGGATATTGATAATGTAATCAAATCCCACTCGGATGAGTTCACAGGGTACACGTAGGATTTCGTGACCAATATCATCCATAGTAGAGGTGTTTTGGGTTAGATTACGTAAATATGTGTCGTTAAATCTGCCACCACCCAACACAGCCAATTAGTGAGAGTTGTCACGTAAACAGAACGTGCCAATTCGTCCCTAGTACAGCACACCGGTGTGTTGGAGAGCCAAGCCTCAACATTTACAATCTTAGAACGACGTTTCGCTAGTAATTACAACTAGCTTCATCAGGCGACAGCCAGATTTGTGGAGAAGTCCAACTGTCTCGTTCCTTATATAGAGGCGTAGATGTGGTGACCAGGCTCCGACGCTCTTGAGTCTGTTTACGTGACAACCCTTACGAGTTGGCTGTGTTGGGTGATGGCATGTTAACGACACATTTATAGATTTACTCGATAAAACCCATAAAACCTTTACTGTGGTTCACAGGGTAAGTTTTAAATTTCATGCTTTGGAATCGCTTCTTATGAGTTCAGAAAATATATTTATTAATCTTTTGCAAAAATAGGGCGGTGAAGCTTCCCTCTCTAGCCGACTTGGTTATAAAAGATCTTCGTTCCAAGAGGAGTCGTTAACAGAGGTAATACTGTATTTACTTACCTTAAAAATAAATAATTTTGTGTTACACTTAATTAGATCTGTATAAAACATGAACACGTTGCATAATGCATGGTACAGTGATATATAATTGGTAGCAACATCATCAAATTAACATGAACATCAATATTAACATGATCGATGTCATCACCCTCATCAACATTAGTTAGCCTATGGTCACATCTGCAGCATTCACTTTTTGCTGCAGAGCCACAACCCATGATCTGAATAATAGAGGTTTTTTGGGTTAGATCGCGTAAATTTGTCGTTAAACCCGCCACCACCCGACACAGCCAACTAGTAAGGGTTGGCACGTAAACAGAACATGCGAATTCGTCACTAGTACAGCACATCGGTGTGTTGGAGACCCAAGCCACAACATTTACAATCTGAGAACGACGTTTCACCATTAATTACGTCTAGCTTCATCAGGCGACAGCGACAATGATCTAACCAAAAAAAACCTCTTATGGATGGTATTGGTCACGAAAGCCTACGTGTTAAACCCATGATCTGAAGATTAGCTTTTGTCTAGGAAGTTTGAAGGCCCATAGTAATATTTGCTTGGTCAAATCCTGTCGGTGCCATGGGCCGTGATGCTAGGTGCTCTGTTAAAAGGAACTGCATCATTAACATAGTTGAGATCAGTAAACAGTTGGTCCCCAACAACCGATCATCAATCATTCATCCTGTTTGTACCTAATAGAGCCAACTACTGAGTAAAGGTTTTGGTAAGCCCCTCCTTATTTTCAGGTGTAGAATACTGTGAGAATGAGCCTGCCAATTTCTTACCTAACTTGAACTCCTCCTCCATCAGCCAATTTCTTTGGCAGTGTTCTTCACTCATTTTTAGAGAAGGGCCACTTTCGCCGATAAGACATCATCAGTGTGAGGGCCGCCACACATTTTAAACCACTGGGTTTGACAGCACTATGATGGGGGAGTGTTGTCACGTGTTGTGTATTGTCGGAGGCCGCACGTCAGGAGCCCCACTAAAGGCCACCAGGGGCCGCTAGTGGCCCGCGGGCCTTGCTATGAAGAACACTGATATAGGTCGATCTGGACTGGCTATCCAGCACAGTCGTAGCACCTGTACGTGTCAAGAGTCCCGAACCTCACCAATCTGCCCTCGGCATCAGGAGAGGGGGATTATGTCATTCCGACATTTAAAAAATGCTCTTATTCTCGATATCAACGTTAACTGGACAGATCCCAAATAATTATGGGTTTGATGGTCAAGAGCAAGTATTAACAATAAGTCGTTTTTTTAATTCTTACGTTAAACATTTATTTTTCAAGTTGAATATTTTTTATTATTGAAGTAATACATTCTTCGATTCGTTTTTCCTTCAGGGTAATATAACGAAATGAGACTGGAAAATGTAGGCATACAGAACAGACACGACAGTACAAGCAAGGCACTATACATAAAACAGACAGTACAAACGATACACAGTGCGAAGCAGACAGTACATTTAGACAGTAGAAACGAGGCTTAAGAGGCAAGACAAAAATGTATTGAATTGTTGCATACACGTAGCTGTGCCCTGACTCTTGTTCTACTTTAATTTCATGTTAAGGTTGAGCTTAATGAATGTGAAGATAAAGGACAATACAGAGCGGCGAACGGGCTTTGCTGCCACCTCTGTCCTCCAGGTAACCGATCAAAGCAGCAACATATTGTGACGGGCAATGCATTTACTGCTCTAAATGGTCAACCATTAGTTTGTATAATGTGTGGTTTTCATGTAGACAATATAAGCGATTGATGATTGTTTCTACAAGTACTAAAATTAAGGCAATGCTTGTGTAGTGGGTTCACTGAGAGACACACAACTCAGGAGGCAACACGTTTATTCTATGACCACAACGGAGTAACTATATAAACGTAACCACAACGGGATAACTATAATACCGGTAACCACCACGGGGTCACTACATAAACGGTTCAGGTCAGTCGGCACACTGCCTGACCCACGATGCTGAGCACGAAGACCGGAGACCGTGGAGAAGATGTAGTACGGCTGGTTCCGTTCCAGCAGACAGCCCTGATGGGACCCCAGGACCTCCTTTTTATGCCCCCCAGCATGGCCTGGCTCTGCCCTCAGCCACGCCCCCTTCTGGAACGCACCAGAAGATTCTGGGCCATACACCACGTGTCCCTTCTGTCACCTTTGGCCCACATCCTTACCCTGTCCTGTTACGTGGCCTTGCCAGGCAATCGGGCTGCTATGTCCTCAGATGCCCTCTCTCTGCCAGCCACCAGAAAAATGCCCCTTTGGGACCCTTTTCCATGACATAGCACACCCTGCTGGTAGAGAGGGCTACTACGCTCCCAGTTCTCCTCTCAATCAGTAAGTGGCGCCAGGCGCCGTAGTGACCCGTTATATGTCAATACATCACCCCCCCCCCCCCCCCATAAAACTCAGCCGCCCCGGCTGACCATGATACCTCAGTTAATAAAACGAACTACCTCCAACCACAATTTTGAATGGAACAATAAAACCAATAACAACCGTCAAAAAGCAAAATATGCACACTTACAGAACAAGATTTCCAAAACAAAACCAAAAATTTCCATGAACATTCAATAACCAACCCAACCCCCAGACAATGTACACCACCCAACACCCATACGCGTGTCACAACCCACGAGCACATGAAGCACCCAGTCCAACCGGTAACACAATCCGGCACGTGCATGCGACCACTGACGGACAGCATTGGGATAAATAGGACGCTCGAGGAGGGTCATTTAATATAGACGGACTTCGAAAGGGTCCTCGTCGCCAGACCCCCAGGCGGGGTTGGAGTGGATTCCCTGGGGGTCCCGGGGACAACTTGAAGATGGCCTAACGGGTGCGGCCCCTCCTGGGAGAAAAAAAAAAACAGGAGGAAAATGATTGTGTGCCGGCTGCTCCACTCTCTTTCATTGGCATCCGATCGGTGCAACTAGTGACTCGAAGGGTGTAAAGTGCCGGGATCTTGTGGGCGGAAGAACAGAAATCTGCTGAGGCACAACCTCCGCGGATGCACGCCCCAGCTCGTCGGACACATCAGACACCGGGCCCTTGGGTAGTGGAGATGAAGGGATCCCGCAAGGCGGGAAACACGGTTTCAGCTGCGACGGATGTACGTACCAACGCCTGCGACTAAACTGGATCTGTACATACTGTGGCCTTTTGATCTCAATCACTTCAACCGGACCCTGCCATGGTCTATACAATTTAGGGGACGTACCCACTTAAAGCCCTCCTCCGGTGACTTCCTGGTCGAGCTGCTTTCGCAGCTACAAAGGCACAAGCATCTGAGCACCATGGGGAATTCTAACAGTCTTTCTCACTAGGGCTTGAACTGTCATGTTTACTGTACATAATCGAGTCGGGGAGGACAAAAACGCCAATCGACGGCCCGACAGCAGCTCAATTCACCCTTAATCCACCAAGATCTTAAGGGGCATCCTCCTAAGAAAATCGATTTCCAACAGACAGGATACAGCAAATGACTAAGAAACTAGCACCGGACCTGTCATCTGGATCTCTCCAATACAGACTGTCGCCGATATCTGACCAATGATACCCAAGGACCCGCCATTAGTGGCAAAACACGGGATTCCCACGGGGCTCAGATCACACAAATTTGGCAGCAATGTATTATAAATCACTTTTGAAATGATGGTAGCGGATGCTCCCATGTCAATGATCACCCACACCTCAGCACCCTGCATGGTCTCAACGACTGCTGAATATCCCGCCGCCGCAGCCACGATACAATATCCCAATGCCGACCACTGACCCGGATGCCGCGGCCATCCACCACCCACCAAAACACGATTCTCATGCTCCATAACACGGCGAGGAGTAACAAGACACGAATCCGACCCGGCATGCGAACAAGATGCATGAGGTGACTGTAACGGCCGGGTGTGTGATGCATTGCGACTTGCCTGTGGACTCAGAGGAGCGGAGGTCGGCAGGGTGATGACGCCGTCATGAAAAATGTCCTTCATTTAGTACGACTTCCCCTCGAGATGTGACCCGGCAGGCCGCACTTAAAACAGATGACGTGGGCACTCCTTGGGCGAAGAAAATCCCATTTCGTTGGTCTCGCCCCTCTCGCCGATCTGCATCGCCTTTCCCCTGAGAATCAACGTCGACCGATGCGCAGACTTGGGGGGGCTCCGCGCCTTCTGGGGTTTCCGCCATCTCTGAAAGTCCCACACGAGCGGCCACCCCCGCTCGACACCGGAAGTTAAAATGTGCTTGGATGCATTGCGCAACCTTGAGTGAAGACAAGTTGTCTCTTCTGTTGCGGGCAGGAAAACATTCAATTCTTGGGCCAGCATCAATATTCGTTCCAACACCAACGAGCCTAACCCAGCTTGCTCCATTTTGGGGTAGGCGGCTTGCGCCAGTGACATCAGCACACTGCGGAAGGCGAGGGGCGTCTCGGTCTTCCCCCGTCTTTTTGTCGCACATTTGATGGCGGGTCGAAAATGACCACCATCTGGTTGAAAACTTGCGGCAGCGTCACTCAGTCCTCAGGTGGGATGGCGTAGAATGCAGTCAAGGTACCGTAATCCAAGGTGGTCAGGAGCGCCCGCAGCGCCTCCAACGCAGATCCATCTGGCCAGGTCGCAGGTGGCGGTGAATCGCCGCTGGAACGCTTCCCAGTCACCCCCTGCGGCTGTGAATTATCTTACAAAAGGGGAGTCGCTTCTTGAGGAATGGCACTTCCCCCCGCGAGTTAGGCGGGAGATCAAATTGGCGGGAGGCGCGTCCCGCCCGGCTGACAAAATGGCGGCCACCCACGCAGGCTGAAGCTCTCCCACTTCCCACGCGTGGCAACCAACAGCGACGGAGCTGTCCACTCATGGCTCCGGCACTCCGGCATCTTCCTCTGGCTCCTCCATGTCGAGTTCAGCCACCAGCGCTGCTGCAGACAACAAGTCAGCGAGGTAGGCGCTGCGCATCCAGCACCTTTTTCCCGACGACGGTAGCGCGGAGACGTCGGCTTCCTCCTGTTGCTCCGCCGGGAGACCCGCCTCGTGAAAATCCTCCGTGGTCGCAACACCCGGGGTTGTCTGGTAAATCACATCCCCGCTGTCTTCTTCGTCTGAAGACACCATGGTGAGAAGCTTCTTTCTTGTAAGCATCGCACTACACTAGAAGTTTCCACTAATTATTTTGAGCACTTATGATGCCAGATGTAGTGGGTTCACTGAGAGACACACTTAACTAAGGAGGCAACACGTTTATTCTATGACTGCAATGGGGTAACTATATAAACGTAACCACAACGGGATAACTACATAACTGGTAACCACGGGGTAACTACATAAACGGGTCAGGTCAGTCAGCACACTGCCTGATCCACGATGCCGAGCACGAAGACCGGAGACCGAGGAGACAACGTAGCACAGCGGGTTCCATTCCAGCAGACAGCTACGATGGGAGCCCAGGACCTCCCTTTTATGCCCCCCAGCGTGGCCTGGCTCTGCCTCACCATAAGATTCTGGGCCATACACCACGTGTCCCTTCTGCCACCTTTGGCCCATATCCTTACCCTGTCCTGTCACGTGCCCTTCTCAGAAAATCGGGCTGCTACGTCCTCACATGCCCTCTCTCTGCCAGCCACCAGAACCATGCCCTTTGGGGACCCTTTTCCATTACATAGCACACCCTGCTGTCAGAGAGGGCTACTCACTCCCAGTTCTCCTATCAGTAACTGGCGCCAGGTGCCATCGTGACACATTATATGTCACTACACTTGCAACAGAGCATTTCTATTATATACCTGGGAAGGCTAAAGTTGGTCACCAATGGGCTATATTATATTTAATCAGCGTTTCAGCACTCAGCTGTGTGTCAATGACCATTTTAAGTAATTGGCTGCGAAACATTTTCATATGATGAGCTATCATTTGTGGCCAGGTCGCTTCTGAAAAAGAGCTATATAGCTCAGTGGGCCTTACCTTGTAAAAAGCTAAAACATTCTGAAATGTCTTTTTTCATTGCTCAAACTAATGATATTGTGATATGTATTACAGCAGGCCAGAGAGTAACATTAAAAGGCATCAGAAATGAATGTTTTGGAATTAATATTATGCTTTGTATAAATAACGTCATCAATTAAAAATGCATCCACATTGAATAATGTGTTTGAAGTAAAAGTATTGATATGTGATATTTAATCACACAAAAGTTATTTCCTGACAACATGATTACTTGAACTTGTCCATTTTACAGGAAGCAAGTGGCTTTATGACTGCTTTCACAATGGCGACCAATCTTTATGCACACCTTGCATGCCAGGGAAGGACTACATGGACGATGCAAACCGTGATCCTCAATGCAAAAAGTGCAGCACCTGCAATATTCTCTGTAAGAGTTCCACATCAGTAGGTTTCGGGTGTGTATATAGGTGTTATTTGAGTGTGGAGATGCATGCAACAAAGGTTAATAAATCACTCTAAGTGAAATTAGGTTAAGTAACCAAATGGATGAGAAAGTTCGTTATATCACCTTGCAATTGGTTAGAAAGTAGGTCGTGGTGTATGATATATTTTAAAAAGAGGACAAAGGTCTATGCAATCCGAGGTTGTTTGAAAGCATGTTGCTTCATAGGCTGCACTTTACATTCCATCTGTGAACGTACCATACATGACGAGGGTCGATCCATGACGAGAAAGGTGGGCTGAGAAAAAAAATCTGGTTTTTTCATGGGGTCACAGCACTCCAAGTGGGACGCGCTTTGCTCCACAAGAGGCTGGGGTCGGTGCTTGATTGCAAGGGCAGACAGTGGGCCCCAATCCTCGAGCTGATCTTCCTTTATCTTAACTTGAGCAGGCTGCTATCCATTTTGTTGCTACATATGACGATCGTCTTTCTTCATTCATGAGAAAAGGTCTCCATCTTAAATAACTTAAAGAATTCTAGATTTGAAGTTTTCGTGACTGCAAAGATCCATACTCTTTGGTTCTTTCGGTAAAGTCACATTGGTAAAAAATAAAAATAAATAAAAGTAAATTGAATCATGACGTTTCGATTGCAACACAAGCAATCATCATCAGGTGTAAAAACCACAGCAAGATTTTTTTTTTAACTGAAGTGGGAGAGATGCCGGGGTTAAGGAGGTTATATAAGTCAGAGAGGGGGTGGGGGGGTGGCGAAGGGAGGGGGGGATAGGGGGAGAGGGGGCGCGTTGCATGGACGTTAGGGACTGGGAACGTGAGACTGGGCGGGGGGGGGGAAGTGGGTGGGGCTGGAAGCGAGAGGCTGAGGGAGCTGGAGATGCGCGGGGGGGAAGAGAAAGCGAAGCAGCGGCAAAGACTGCAGCCAAAACCGATGAGGGCACCCAAAGCAAAATAGCAGTACTGCTAAACGCTGGGGATGCAATTAACTCGGTAAAATAGACTAGTGCCTGATAAATAAGATGGGACAACTATGAACAGTTACATTTTTACCTGGTTAATAACATCTTTCCAATGATTGCTCAATTTGTATCCATCTTCTTGGTTGAAGTTACGTCTATGTTTGTATATCTGGATGGCTTCATGAACAAACCTTCGATAGTAGCCAGACGGTTTGCAGAGCACCTTGGTCTAGGAAAAAACAATATCATGAGAGCCCACAGCGTTATAGCAATGATCAGCAACGGTGGAGGAATTAGTTCTGCCGTGTTTCAGATCTGACTTGTGCTCGCGGATACGGTCAGAGACATGACGTTTCGTTTCCCCAATGTAAGTCACGACAGATGCAATGTAAGTCACCACAGATGCAACTTAGTTTGTAGACACCAGGGTATTGCAAGTCAGGAATGGCATCCTTTACAGATGGGATTAGATTACGGATTTTGTGTACTGTACTAAATCGGACCTGGATCTTGTGTTTGTTTAAAATTTTGGCAATCTTTTTGGTAACGCCTGCTTTGTATGGTAACTTAAAGAATATGGCCATCACAATATTGAGCTGCTCAGAAGAAGAAGATGGCACAAACAGTTTGAACCGGTACTCCCCGATCACACTGCGGTCCAGCAGACCGCAGTCAGGAGGGTGAGGACAAGATGGCGGGTCGGGTTTCACATCAATTGGCTCAAGCAGTTGCAGATGTTGAAAAGGCACTATAGACAAAAGAGAAATGTATAATAAGTCGGGAATATAAGATGGTCTAATAACAAAACTATATACTATTAGAATACTAAAATCTGAAATGAAACCGTTAAAAAGAGGATGAATCAATGCACAGGAACCTGGGGAGTGTGAAATAATATGCAGATATGACATCATTGGAAGATCTAGCAATTCCTATTTAAGAGTTGAGATTAATATATCCTGGTTATTCACAACTCATCTAAAATGTCCACAATTACAGTCAATAGAGTCCATGGCAACATCCACTAAGCCACTATCTCCAATGCTGGCAGATTACAGGGCAATGTCACCCGAATAAATTGTGTTTCTAGTCTTCTCATACACACAACGCCAGGTGATACAAATTGAATACTATGCAACATTAAAGAGGAGAGGCAACATCTATGACTTCCTAAACTGCCATCGAATTGGTCCCCCATCTCATCTCTGATGAACCTCCACAAGTGAGACAAGATTAGATAAACTGACCTCATGTCGCCTCGGTTATAATTCCAATAATTGTTTGAGCTGAGCTGCATTGCGGCATGCATTCTCGAATGCCATGCCACAGGTAAATGCGACCCACTGTTCGATTATAATGATCAGCGAGTAACTCCTCTCATCCATACATTCTAATCATAATCTTCATTTCCACTGAAGGAATCCGATTAGCTTTGAAGTTTCTTTTCACAGATATCTAGGAGGGGCGGATCAGCAAGTTACAACAAAGATTAGTTTAAATTTTGATTTAAAGCTTTCGTGACTGCAGGGATTCATATTCTTGGTTCTTTCGGTAAAATCACGTAGAAGGGAAACAATAAAATAATAAAAATATAAAACAATAAAATTATCACGACGTTTCGACTGCAACACAAGCAATCATCATCAGGTGTGAAAACCACAACAAGAAAATTTGAAAAAAGTGGCGGTTTTTTGTGTCCGTTAAGATTCGTTTATCAATTACCCTGTTCTCAAGAGCCATCAAATATACAAGTTCCATCGTGAAACCTTTTTACAAGGATTCATGTCTGCATTAACCACAATACCTGCAGTCAAAATGCAAACAAACTATGATAATATATGCATTGTCATTGAAACTGATCAAGGGACGGCTTTCTTTTGAGCCTCGACCCAATTGGTGCTCGACCAGATGACGCCAAAAGGCGTACAGCTCAAAGACAATGCACTATCAAAGTAATGAGGGCTCGGGGTGAGCATCTACATCATTAGACCTCCTTTGCCAGTACCAAAATGTAATAATAGGGTTTTTCCCCTTTTTTCTGGCAACAAAACTTTGATAGTGCATTGTCTTTGAGCTGTACGCCTTTTGGCGTCATCTGTTCGAGCACCAATTGGGTCGAGGCTCAAAAGAAAGCCGTCCCTTGGTGTGGACCAATCAGTTTCAAGGACAATGCATACATTATCATAGTATTTTTTTGGTTTGCATTTTGACTGCAGGTATTGTGGTTAATGCAGACATGAATCCTTGTAAAAAGGTTTCAGTTTTGTTGCCAGAAAAAAGGGAAAACCCCTATTATTAAGTTCCATCATATTACCAAATTGTAATGTACACTATGCTAAAGTTATAGCAACTTGGGACATATTGCCAAGACCAACATTTTGTACATTAAACACGCAGTACAATACTGCAATTAAACTAAGTTTCATTTTGTTCTCTGATGTGTAGATGAAGATGTTCAACAGGACTGTACTGTCACGAGTGACACTGTGTGTCAGTTGAAGGATGGATACAGTTGGCCTCATCCTTCACAGCCTTGTGGAGTTACGTCAAACACAGGTGAGAAATGTCATATTCGTCTCTATCGCCTCTGATACCAAGATATTCAATTAAGAGCGATTAGCATCAGGAAATGCACAAACTTGCAAATGGAAAATAATTTACACATCTTGGTCGTCATTGAAATCTTGTCAGTAGGGCTGTTTCGAGTATTAAGGTACCAGGCAGAGCTTCGTACTTGCCCCATCATTATGCATTTATTAACTGACATGCCACACACATCGGAGAAATGTATACACACATGATATTTCCCTTACTACACATGTGTGAAGTCTCTTCCTTCACCAAGGACCAAACCGTGAATATTTCCGACATTGGCAACTCCATACAAGACCATGGCTACAGCATTCCATTGGAACAATTAGCTAGTAATTGCTGAATCAAATGTCTATTTGCAGCAAGGAAGTCTATAATCAGACATTCCTAAAATATTTTGGGGGTACTGTTGATCGAAACCAGATCTACCATTGAAGATTGATGAAAAAAGGTAACCATATCCAGAAACTTACAGACATTTGTTGGAGAGCAGATGTGCTTACACTACACATTCATCTTATACCTGTTTTATATTTGCACATCCGAGCCATGCTGGGGCCATGCCATGGCAGCGTGGTGATTCTCAAGAGGCATGAGATACTTTTCCACTGCACAAGTTGACCCATGCCATTGTTGTCACATGCAATTCTGGATATCAAGACGATTGTCGATGACGCAGTTATACTGAGTTGTGCTGACTGATATCACGCTAGTTGTGAATCAGACATGCACACACAAGTATACTTTACACAACACTCTGCGCTCCTCTTTGGGCTGAGAGGTACCACACCAACGAACATCTTAAACATTACAATGAGGATTGTCACCAGCAAAATAAAGTTAACTATTTTACTCTGCCTCTCTGTGCTATAGAACATGTCTCTTATAGATGTCTGCAAACAAATAAATATTCATGATTACAGCTGCATTTAATCAATCCTAACCTGCCCATCTAAGAAGCTCAAGAAATATATTAAACTACTGCTTGAGATCGTGCAAGTCAAAGTCTTTATATTTGAGTTTCAGCACATCAGAGAAATGGCGAAAGATTTGTGTGAACACTAATATGATTAAGAAGCATCGGATTGCTGATCCCACTAAAAATAGATTCAATCTACCTTAAAAACAATAGTTTACATTTAACCAGAAGAATGTAAATCATGGTAGATCAGCACTACTACTTTCACAAGTACAAATTGAAGGCCATGGTATGCAATTGCAGAAACGTAGATCATATAGTGAACCACTGACCTCCAAAAATGCAAAACATGCTTTAAAGAAACCCACCACCCATCAACTGAAGGCTTTTCATACGTAATTAATTTAGACGTAGATTTGTAAGTTGCTATTCATTCAGATAGAGGAAAGAGAAAGAATCGGAGGACAATTCTTCAGAATGACAACAGGTGGAAAAAACCGAGACAAAGATGTCAAAACATGATATATTTTATAACACGCGACTATCTATTGCCATCAAAATTTCTGAATATTTACTCAAAGACAGCAATGTAGTGAAGCCCTTTGTCAAACGGGTGTTAGATAAAGACTCGACCATGGCGTTTCAGTTGTGTGTATTGTTTGACCGTACGTCTCCACGTTGGTTCGTGTGAGTTGGTGAAGAGGGGAGGATCTGGACAGGACCAGTTCAGATGCCAGTGATGCTAGCCGTGGCTGGTCACAAACTCACATTGCCAGGATCATGGAACATTGCGCAAACCACTGCACCACCTTTGCACCCCCATTTCTATGTCAATCTACTGTGCTTCAAGTATTAAACAGGTTGATTTTCTTACAAAGTGCTCATGCGATGTTTATGTCATAATAATGAGCCAGCATAACCGAGATTATGGATTATATACCCCAAGCGCAAATGGTTGCAGGTGGATGGTTTGGAGGTGATACCAATTCCTACTTGAATTTTGCAGTTCATACAATTCATGCAGTTTCTCAAAACAGCTCAGCGCGAGTAAAACAACCTAATATTATGGCTACATAGATATTAATTTAATTATTTGACCGTACCATCTGAAAAATCAAATACAGCTTTTTTTCACACTGCAAGGCACCACTCTGAAGATCCCATTGGAGTTAAAATCAGGTTCTTCTGTGTTTTTGCACAATTGTAAAAATGTGTTTTCGTATTTGTTTGTGGATTGTATGAAATCAACAAACGAAACCATAATTATTTTGTACAGTACAGATGTACAGCCCTGTTGTCAATTGAGTCGTGACATAGCCAACACGGTGGCGTGTAGCATAGTATGGACAGACGTCTCGCAAAAAACATTACCAATCAGCAGCGTGTACAAAATTATTTGGCATGTGTTGTGACGGGTACTGCAAGATCTGATCATGTTCGTCCGGTGCTCGCCGAGCTGCATTGGCTTCCGGTTGCCAATCGAATAGATTATAAGGTCGCACTTAATACACACAAAGTGCTTGCCACAAATTAACCACAATGCCTTGCTGATCTCAAGGAGCATAAACCATCACACAAACTCTGGTCATCATCGCAGTGGCTTTTAGCGAGCCATCGAGCAAAGTCGGTCACTGCATCACGAGCTTTCAGATGTGCTTGTGCGGCCGTCTGGAATGTTCTTCCTTTCGATGTTAGCAAACCACTGGATCTGTGCACATTAACATGGAGAATTAAAACTTATTTCTTTAGAACTGATTTTTGTGCTAAGTTTTTTTTAACTTCCCGCGCAACTCCGATTCGCACGGTTGGGTATGTGCAGTGCGAAAGAACTTCAACATACATTTATACATATGGATTATGGGTGTTATTTAGCTAGATTGCACAACTTTAGTGAGTGGGGGCTGCTGAAGAGGGGTTGCATAGATTCACGCGACAACAACGAATCTTGCTACATTGTCCCCTATTGCCCACCACAGCATGTTAAAATTAATATATACTTTGATCCATCAGGCTTCATTGTGCATATTTACTTCATTAAGCAGATCCCTACAGGAAAGCAAATTTAGCGTGGCAATGACCAGTCATCACAATGTTTGTGGAAAGCTCTTACCTACAACATCTCGCTGCCTGGAATTTGTTGAATTGGCCACGCTGCTGATGAGACTCTGAAAGTATAAACCATCCCAAAGTTTCGGCTTAAACACATGTTACGAGACAACATTGCTCCCAAAAGTAAATTGGTTCATGCACTGATATAAAAACATAAGCACTGGTGTCGATGTAATATTATTTCAGAGGGTGATAATCAATAGTCTTGGCAATGAATTGTATATGTCAATAAATATGCATGCTGAATGTTTGTCCTCTGCCATTTGCTACCTGCAGAAAAAAACATTACAATTCTTGCTGGAATTGTGACCTTCATTCTTCTGGTGGCGGTGGTGGCCTTATTGATTTGTCGGAAGAAGAAATGCTCATACCCCTTTGGTAAGAAACATTACAGCATTTTATGTAACTTGCATTGTTTCATAATGAGCCCAATGCTTCATGAGTGGCCCATCCGTGATTCATGAGACAACTAATAAGGGCTGTAGATTAATTGGAAGATGTCCAAGTGCACATCACCATCACAAAAAACTTGAAGGAAAATGGGCAATGTCCAAGATAACACTCTGCAGTACTCCTGCTTATTACAATGTTATTGCGCAGCATTTGAATAATGCTAAATATTAACTTGAGTTTCCAGTCAACAATAATGAATATGATGCGTCTCAATATAGACACCACTATGTATATATAATAATTGTATTGTGTTGATTTGTTTCAATGTTTTCTTTGTTCGTGCTGCACACTACTCTTCAATGTAACTAACGTCAACAAAATATCACCAAACATCTACCTAAATATTTCAAAGACACAAAAACACCCCACAACTATAAATGCTTTATGGCCACGCCAAACTTGCCAATTCATTAGAACCTTCAGAACCTCAGAAAGTCTAGATTAATATCCTGGAACCCACTGTGAGATCGAGCATAAGCTCTCAAAGTGCCCTCATTCAACTTGAGTCCTGGGAGTGAGTCACCTGCAACACTGCCAAAGTCCCTAACCAGCACAGAATCACAGAGTTCACGGAAGAAATTACCAATTACAATTTGCCCTGCAAAAAATGGGCAGTATTTATCTGAATCAGAACATCGCATGGCAGATGTGTCTATTTTATGCACTGAAAATTTAAGAATAGAACACAGTGTGATAGCAGACACAATCTCAAACCTTGGAGCACATAGTCTGGCACTACCCGCTTTTAAAAATTAACTTGTAGAATTTCAGATAATCATCAGGCTCTTCCTGCAACTTTTCACTGGTTCAGCAACCTCGACATAAATTTAGCTGATCAGCTTCCACCCATACGAAAGAAAATGTGTTACTCTCCAATATTATTGTACATTGATACTGTCATCCAAGCAATACACTGTTTAACTGCATGCCTATACAGGTCACCATAAGTCGATGGGGATTACCTGTAAGTAGATAATATCATTTAATGTTATTTTCGTGCACACAAACGACAGGATGCACAAGAACAATATGCATCCATAATGTGCATGCATACTGTGCGTTGATTAACATATTAATAATCCAACCAGTAATGGATACCCATTATAATTTATATGCATTCCTGGCCTTTGCAAGTGAGGGGCTCACAAGTGAAGACATAACATCTATTCCTCTATTAAAGAACGAAACAGGAGGATATCTCCACAAATCTGGCTGTCACCTCATGAAGCTAGTTGTCATTATTGGCGAAACGTCGTACTCAGATTGTAAATGTTGTGGATTTACTCTCCAACACCCCGATATGCTGCACTAGTAACGAATTGGCATGTTCTGTTTACGTAACAAACTTTACCAATTGGCTGTGTTGGGTGGTGGCTGGTATAACGACGCATTTATATTTACGCGATCTAATCCAAAAAAGCTGTATTATGGATCCAAACATCTGCTTCACATTTAGGACCAGAATTCCATCTTCATGAAACAGCTGACACATTACCTTGGAGATTTTCCACATTGCTAATAATTGTGCATTTAAACACAAAATCTAACTTAAATAAATGTTAGTCAAGATATCAGAAACAGTATGTTTTAGTCGGAATATTTGGTTGCTAATGAGAGCTTGCATCATGCACAGCAGATGAATTAATATAGCAAAATAATTGCTGTACAATTGTTTCAGTGCACATCTAATGACTGATAACACCATCCTATAATCTCACACCTGTACCATCACTAATATCACGTGCCTTGCAATCGTTTTTACTCCACGTTTTGAAGTTTACTACGAACAGAGCAGGTTCACTTTTAGACACACTCCCATAATACCATAGTCATAACAGCATAACGCATACAGAATCATCATTAGCAATGCTTTCAGTAGATGCTACTGAGTGGACATGTGTCATATTGTCTTCTTGTACGGGAACAGATTATTCTGGCAAAGTGACGGAGACTGTGCCCCTTCTTCGTGTGGAAGTGCTCAAGGCTGTCCTTGAGGTAAATCAAGCAGCATATGCTGGGGCCTGGCTCCCATGACATTGCATCACAGGAACTCATGTACTCTTGTGGAGCCTTCCACTGTCTAATTGTGGTGTGTAGACTCTCCAAAAACTATCTTACACCTACTTTTGGTGTGGCGTTGTGGTTTTTGGTGGTGATTTGGTAGGGTCTTAAAGGGTTAGCCGAAGTATTTCCCATCATGTTTTTCAAGACTTCCCTGGGACTCTGCTGGTGCTGGGACTCTGTTGTCTGAATGTTGCCCGATTGTACTTGCTGTGGTCACTGTTTGTCATGTTCCTCGGCCATGGATCTTTCGTATAATTTTTATCTCTTTTTCTTACTCTGTCTTTTGCTCTATTTCCATTGTTTTGCATTTCACTGCATTTTTAATTCGCTTTGAGATGCTGTGGGATTGAAGCTATGAAGACAGATCCTCATCCAATATCAGAATACGAATGTATTGCCAATCGCAATATATTTTCCAATGTCTTAACTACATTTACTCATACAACAAAACCTCCCATGTCACACATTCAATCGCAGCTATAGCTGGAATGATGAATCAATTAAATGTATCCATTAACTATAATATTGTATTGACTACGTTGCTGTGGTCAATTGCTCTGGCTATTTAAAACTGGCAACTGCCCCACTTAATGCCTCCCGAAGATGGGAACCCAGTATACATTCAATGTTGAGCCAACGTTGACATGTGGATAGACCGTTGGACCAATGGTTCCACGCTTACTGTAAATTTCCATACAAGCTCCACTCTGTGACGCGGCTGATGATGCAATGTACATCACCAAGCTCCTACGTCACTTCCCACCCAACAGCAAATATGGGACCAGAGGTGAGATGTGTTTCCAACTTTTATCTGCATAAGCCAATTAATCACATAATCAATCCAATAACTGGCAGAGTACTCCGAAACAAATATAATATATTCCACAAAATAACTGGATATCTTAGCTCTAATCAGAATCACTATAAGCATGCATCTTGCTGTAGATACATACGTTCATACAGTATTGGCACTGGAGAACTGAAAACTATCAAAGGAAGATGGATAGTAAGCAGTGAAACTGTAAAATGATATCTTTTGAAAGTCAGTTATCACCTTTATAACAATTGTGGGATCCTGGACAAATATAGCTCAATGCCTTGGGTAGTCCTAAACCATTAGAGGAAATTCCAGATTACAATGACAGGGCCATTTATCCCTTTACAGAAATGTAAGTGTTTCAATAATATGCACCCAATATGTAACTCTCTTTTAGCAACTCTGGAGGAAGGATGTCAAATAATGCAAGAGTAAAATCTACAACGATAGAAATACCATTAAACAATTCCCATTGTGCCTTCTTTCCCATGTGGACAGGAGCCACGAATGTTCATCGAGAAGAGAATGAAGTCTAGTAATGCTGAAGTTTGGCGGCAGTTCCATGAGTTGCTGCCAGAAGTGTATAAATCCATCTTTGAAAACACCTTCTATTTCTTGTACGAGATGGATAAAAAATACAAGATTAATATACACGTGTACTGGGGGGTTTATGAAATTACTGACATCTCAGCACGTGCAATTTTTATACTCAATTACTTTATTCTTGAGGGTGAGGAGAAGTGTCAAGGGCTCCTGGAGATGATCCTTGCAGGACAGAATAAGCAAACGCAGCTGCAGACCCTGCTTGACTCTGCCGGTATGTGGGATCTGATGGGCAAATGGGCCTCATTGTGAGACTTTACTTCGTTAATAATGGATATCAATACGAAAGGATGAAAATAACTTTTTTGCATAAGTCACGTAATTTTCTGCTAGGTATGCTTTTAATATGCATTACAGGTAAAATTAGTATTTAAAAACTCGTTAATCATGGATATCAATACGAAAGGATGAAAATAACTTTTTTGCATAGGTTATATTTTAAGTCACGTAATTTTCTGCTAGGTATAGTTTTAATATGCATTACAGGTAAATTAGGATTTAAAAACTTGTTTTTACATAAAAACTGAGGCAATCGTATTGTTGAGTACAGACACATTAAGTAATAGTTTCAATAGCAATATAATAATATAATCTATGCTTCCATCTAATTTTTTCTTGCTGAATAGGAGGCGTTATAAATCTGGGATTCATTTACTGAACTCTGGTTGTGAATATCTGTTCACATGTTTCACTGGTTTCATTGCAGTAAAATGCTCTCCAACTCTTAATCCAAACACTGCACATGAAGAACTTAACATCTCAGATGATGGGAAGACAGCAGAATGGCTCAAGAGCCCTCCAGAAAAACCCGATCACCCAGATCGGTTCAAATACTGGTCACAGGTGCTGTCTGCTGAGAGTTTCTCTGAAGGATGCCACTTCTGGGTGGTGAATGTGGGGGACGTGGACAACCTTCGTGTTGGTGTCTCTTACCAGAGTATTCTACGTAAAGAACCAGACAGTGCATGCCTGGTTGGATTTAACAGCAGGTCCTGGTGTTTATGGAAACACAAGAACAAATACAAGGCCTGGCACGACCAGCATAGCACGGAGCTGGAAGTGGGTGAACATCCTCGCAGAATCGGTGTTGGCTTGGACTATGATAAACGGGTTCTGTTATTTTACAATGCTGACAACAATAAGCATCTACACACATTTTATGCTCACTTTTCTGAACCCCTGCATGTTGCCCTATGGGTGTGGTCTGGGGTCCTCACTATTGAGCCTGTTAACAACGATTAAATTGGACATAGGTTTCATAATTTATCCGTGGAGAATTATAAACAGGATCAAATTGCCATGCAGCTCCTCTTAGTTATTTTACACGGATATCACAGGTAATATTGTTTTCTCTACCACATGCACTCATAACCTTTATATCTAAAGAATTAAAGGTAAGAAAAGATGTTACATAAAATATACTTCTCCAAACGTAGTCATTCCGTCTTCAGATGTTTCAACATCCAAATATTTTTTTTCAAATTATCTGATTATCAAAGACACCCATGTAACCATAATGGACAAGCTGAGCCTTGCCAGCCAGTTAAATTTGCATTATAGGAAGGGGTACTATTTGCAATTTCCGAATGGCACAATGTTCTCTTGCTTTGGGCTGTAATTGGTCTGCAGCACAGTCCATGGCTTTCCACATATATGTGGATATCACAGATAATATAAAAGTTTTCACCCATCTGCTGGTCCACCCACCCTCTTATAATCATCAAAATTGCAGATAATAGAAACTGCCAATTTGAAGGCAGGAATGACAAATATGTCTAACTGCATAGATAAGACAGTTCCAAATAACAATAGTTGTACTGTATTTCCAAATTGTGCATATCAGTTGCACTGCACACCCACACATCAGTGCCATGGTGCCACTCTACACAACATCGTTTCTGGCCCGATTAACTTCCTGTGGATCCCTTTCTCATTTGCTGCGAAAAGGTACAATTTCCACATTTTCCGTTGCAGATGAACTCAGCATAATTTTCTGCATTGTGTCGTGTACGTTTACACTGCATGCATACTTGATTGGTGCAAAGTTATATTAATGAGTCTGAGCCTTTGGTCTTGAAAGCAGCCCTGAAAATTGCTGGCTCGTTGGTCAACTGTGAAGGTATCCATTCTCGATCAGCAATTGTTATTGTATATAAAATATCTTACTTTTATATGGGAATTAAGCAATATGTGTTACCAGTTTGTGATTATTATTCATATATTTGAAACACGATATATGGGATAGTAACCCCCAGAAATAATATCTCAGTCTCTGAAACCTGACATCAGGCAAATAACGTGATACAGCCTTTGACCATGAATTAGTAGCAGTGACAGCAAGCACTATGACCACTTGCTGACCCTGTCAGTTCCATGGATGGCTGGAGTGAAGTTGCCTTCACTACTGTATAGCTGTTTATTTTGTGAATTAGTATTAGATATGTAATTATAAATGTAACGGGTCCAACCCATTGTGCTGTACGAATGAATTGTGGTACAAGGGGCCGCTGAGTTAAGGGATGAACAGAGAGAACGCGATAGAGGGCGCATTGGCGTCGGCAGAAGTGGACTCGGGTGCATAATCTTTACGAGAGTTACAAATGTTTTCCATTACGGTTAGAAGCATAGAGCTAATACTTTTGTTGTATCCACCTTTCAGGGGTGGATAAAAATGTAATGATTCTTTCAACGTGAATTACCTAATGAAGATAATATTTTAATTTATAAATATAGAAACCGCTGCAACACAGTCTTATTTGTGCCTCGGGGAAGTCTTAGGGCGGCTGTTAATGCGATTAACTTCGCATTTTAGCCACGCCGTTTGAAACCCATTCAAGGCGGTGAAAAAGGCGCCCATGGTTGTAATTACTATGTCACAACGTTAGGGTGCACTATGCAAATAGCAGGTCACGGCTTTTGGCAGTGTCAAAGGGGTTGTGGAGTGTGGACTTCAGGGTCATTGGGACAACATTTGAGTGCTTTGTTGTTTTGTTTCGTATTGCTAATAAATGCCTACCGTTGGTAGGAATTTATTAGCAATACTTTCATGGGAAGGCCAATAACATGATGAGGATTTTCTTAATTAGAACACCAGCTTTTCAGAGGTCACTCACAACAGCCCCACCTAATGGAAATGTCACGACCCGCCACTGCTATAAGTCATCCACAGCACACATCCAGAGAGCTCTGTCCTCGATAATATATTTACGACTACACGACTATCATATCAATTTACAATGTAAGTTAATAGAAAATACCTGAACGTAATATTGAGGGTTTAATATATCATAATTCTGCAATATTCTGTATACGCAAATTGATGGATTGATGGTTGCCATAAATAAACACTGGCTCATAAATCTGCGTGTCTGTGTCATATTCTCATGTTGGCACAACCACTGCTATAAACTCGTTCATACTGCAGTGTGTCTCCCTGTAGCTATCACCCTGGCTAAGTGATTCCCGTTTTCCACACTTTCTTGCAATACCTTGATATGGGGTTATATTTCTGATGTCATTCATATCTGCAATAGTGGTTAACGGACTTCGCGTGCCTTGATGCTTCCGATTTAACGCATATTTCCTGCCAGTGTTACGTGAATGGTGCATGACTTAAATGTCGTTTGCCTTGAATGTGTTTGCTACTCCGTGTGTGCAATGTTCATCTGCTGTATTTATTTTTTATTCCACCAAGGTCCTCCACGCGTCATGTAAAACAACTTATGGCCGAATGTTTCTTACTCATGTCAACAAATAAAATCTATTAAATTAAATCATCACCGATCTTTTCCCGCACGTTCCTCTGCATTCTTGGCCAGTTTATTCTTCTAAGCATTGGCTGCTGTCAGAAATTTTATCGTCTGCACTCCCATGGTGTACGCACTCACGAACTGCGTTAACAGCGGTCTTATATAGCCGCTTTTGCCAAAAATCCTCTATGATCAGATTATTTGCATATTCAAGGGGCGGAGCATCCACACTTCCACGACCCACTGTCTCGTGTGCATCGGAAAATTCAAACAAAAGTGGTCGATATTCGTCAAAAATGGGTTGCATATTTCCTTTAATCAAGAAGAGAATGATACCTAATGGGAATAATTTGAGACTGAATACGCACAAAATTGAATACATCTGCAAGGGACAATACATTCAAACAATCCATGTCACTTTGACTTCGAGGTTTTAAATGTAACTGGTTAGATTTTAATTGAAAAAGTGTGATTGGAAAAGTGTGCAAATACAGTGTTAATCAGCCATTCCCCAATTAGGTGTTTTCCGTTGACTGAATTCACCTATTAGCACCCTCACTACACCAAAAACTCACTCAATGAGCTTCTCAACCCGTTCCCACCGTACCCCCCCCCCCCCCCAAAGTGACACATCCTTTCGATGAGTCTGCTTTGTGTAGAAGAGTGATTGGTGGTACGTCACGTGCAAAACCACACCAGGAGAGCCCAACAATAATTGGGGTGTAAAGCATTTTATGGAAACCGATGGCCAAGGGGACAACCCACCACGTGTGACCCATGCAATAATGTAGGGAAAAATATATGAACAGTAAATTGCCACCGAGTCTGGAATTCGGTCCCCAATCCGATGGCATTCATTCTCTTTCCCCAAGATAAATCCACGAGGCTACCTACACTTCTGTTTTGCCATGGTGCCTCAGGTGCCCTTGTGTTGCCTTTCACAACACCCATATGAGTAAGTTTGTGTGTGCAATGTGCTCTCTTCCCCATACTTTGTAAATGTAGGCCCGTTTACATGGATACATGCACCAGTTATCAACATTAAGGTTGGCCTGTCGACGATGAGCCCTGTGTTTAACTAGACTGGATTGTATGAAGAACTCTCGGAAAACTTTCCTTTTAGTGAGCTCCTCTGGAGATAAAGATGTACTGGCTCGGTCATTTAGCGTGACCAGCCATTGCATGTCCAAACAACTCCTATTTCGATAGAAAGAGTCGGATAAATGGGCATGGCACAGGCTAGAGAGGAAATGGGCTCATATGCTACAGGATTTGGAGCAGATTGTACTTGGTGATGACTGGCACCTGTGGTGTGAATATTGTGTGTATATTTGTGTTTGAGTGCAGTCTGCATGAGTGTGTGTAGTCTGTATGGGTGTTTGTGTAAAATTTATAAATCCCACACATGCTCACTCTCCCCAAACTGCAGGTGAGGAACAACACACATACATGCAAAAAATAAACTCAGCAATTTGTTTATTATGCAAAAAAAACATCAATAGGTCTTAAATAAGGTGCATTGTGGTCACTTGTTCTCGGTCATAGTGGAATTTATTATTATTTGGGTTCAGTAACTGACATAGAGAGGTTGACAATTGTAGACCGGTTTGTATTAATTCGGACTCATCGCTACAGTATAGCACCAATACTGCTGCGAAGTCTGCGTCTGGGAACCACATATCTAAAACCCATATTTTCTGGAAGTGCTGATGTTTTTTTGCATAATGCACAAAAACTGGGCACTTTTTTAACACGTTTTTGTGTTGCTGTTTGAAACGTATGGTTTCCCAGCCTGCACTAATTTCCTGTGATGATGTTTTTTTCCCATAATTTACAGACTGATTGCGGGTGGGGAACTGAGTTTTTGTGTGGCAGATAGAGTTGTAGGTGGGACATCAACCATGACATTTCACGGGCATATTCTCGTGCTGCATTCATTATTGTCAAGTTACACCAACTACTTCGTGCAGGCTGTAGCAACAGCACAAAGACTAGCAGACACAATTTAATCCAAAAAGCAGGTTACGTAGATGATGCTCACTCTCAATGATATTTTAAACAGAAATGTTCATGTAAAAAGAAATACATTTTGACCAAATTATGAGGATCACACAATACACGATGGCTACTTTTCATGTAATTTGCAAATTCACGACCAAAGAGAACACGTTTGTCAATTTCCATCTCGCCATAGCTTTTGGTCAATATGATCAGAGCTTTCTGCAAGGACGTTCATAGCGCTGTAAGAATAAAAGGTAAAGGAGCAGCCCTGCAATTTCTTGTGCATGCCGCTTCTGCTGGAAGAGCCCCTTTAGAGGGCATTTGGTCTAATCTTCCACGCTGGACATGTGTTAGAGTACCCACGATTTATGATTCCCACAGGACCTGCCTTACAGACTAACTGTGGTGTACCCATTTACACTGCTGGGATGACAGGTGGGGGGATCTGAGAAACTTTCCCATTGTCTCACCTGTCGTGCCCGGAAGATCGAACCAGTGACCGCTGGATTACAAGTGCTGTAACCAATACACCATGGCATCATCCAGCTGTAGCAATACCGGAATAATACTGTACAGTACTTTCTAAGTGTCTGTATGTGTCTCACGGTCTTTGTGTGTCTTCGTGTCGGTGTTTTTCTTCGTTTCCGTGCGGGTATTCGCTTGTGTCTGAATCTCATGATTAAAGTAAATGTCGCCCGCGCATTTGCTATGATCACGGGGCATGTTTTTGCTACAAATCGCGGATAAACGAGAGGAAAAGGGGCATTGGTAATTGGCGTTATCGCGGCCGTCTTCAGCTGCCGCGAATAGTCGGAGTCGAGGGTTAAAGCAAGCGCCGTGGATAAGAGTTCCCCTGTACAGTATTCAAATGGCAAGTTAAAACATTTGCCATATATAATTATTTGTCAGTCTCCAGCTTTCAACCCCTCTTATCTCTCTATCCGGCTCTGAAGAAGGCTGATTACCCGAAACGTCACCTATGTTGTTGACACTGTATTTTCATGTACGGCCACAGTGTTATTGATGCACATGTTGAGTTTTTTTGAATGTGTACAAACTTTAAGAAATTGTTTTCTTTGAAGGAAGTCATGCACAACCTCCACGGTATGCAGCTCACATTCTTAACGAAACACTGTACTTGCTTGCTTCAAATACGGTACTCTACTGGTGATTCAGATGTCTTTTGACCCCCCCCCCAATTAATTGACCCCTACAATGTGTTTCCTTTGCATATTCATTTCTGCTTCAAATACATCTTGACAACAATATAACGGTTTAGTAGAGAATTAAATGGTGATCACAAGACATGTGGACCACCACCCTGCACAGTGTTTCCAGTTTGACCACTTCTCTGAAACGACACCGAATCGCACAGAATGAGGAACTTGTAAAGGAGCTGCAGTCGCAGTGTTTAGAGATTGCTGGGTGTCGTTAGTCTAGAAACTGGCACGGTACATTCATCTTCGTCTACACGTCCTTTTGAGAGACACTAACAGTGTTTAATAGTTGAGTGTTTTATACTCATAGCCACTGGTGATCCAACTGGGGTATCTTCTGTAGAAATATTGATGGGCCACAAGGCGTATTTACATGATTTTACAGTGAAGTATCTCTAAAGAAAAGCTACATAACAGCGATATTCATCGTTAGCTTCGTGCTCCACCATTTTGACACCAAGTTTGTAACGATGCAGCCAAAACAAGTGGCAGCAATTGGGCTGATCTCTGGCATCATCTTTTTTAAGTTCATCTCAATGGTAAGTGTGTAATACATTTTATCCCCACTACAAGAAGACGCGTGCTACCTCTCAGCTGCTCCTAATCTTTTTCGTTATCAAACATTGCCTCCCATGATCTCCCCAAGCCTCCGATCACCATTGACATCAAGCCGATGGCAAGTGTCGCTACATCCCTTCTGCTGCCCAAATGGTCTTTTCTCTCTCAACTACCCGCGATTTTTCTCTGTTGCTTCTCTGTGGCGCTCAGACAATGGGAGGTTGCAACTTATTTTGGTCTTTCATTCTCGTTGGATGCTCCTTCAGTTTCGGCTAACCTGTTTTTTGCCGTTAATGTTTGAGATTTTTTTACTATTTAAAAACGAAGTATTTATATCTTCACTATTGTGTATAATTGCATTACACCTTTCTTTCACTGTACATATGAATACTCTTAATATGTCGTCCTAAACTTTGAGGCTCCACGACCATCACAATGCAGGGTAAAACGTTAAATTTTGGATAACACAGAATCTGAATATGTATTTATACTGGATGAATCCGATGAGCTATGAAGCTCTTTTTCGCAGATGTCCAGTACCTATGAGGCAGGTAGCACGAACTGTTGAACGCGAAATATTGTTAAATAAAAATCTACATGACTGGTATATACAAAAAAAAAACGTAAGACTAGCTTTTCAAACCCAACAAAACCATAATATCACGAACATTAGGATATCACATTGCTTCTGTATGTCACTGCTACATAGCAGGCTGTCTCAACCTTACTAGAAGCAGCAGCAAAGCCATTGACAAGGGAAGCATTAATTTGTTCACGAGTTTCAAGACGGAAAATCTGTCAAGCATGACTGGACATCATGTATAACTTATGTGTTTTGGGATAAAAATTGTGGGAAAGTCCAATAATATTATTGTGCTAAATTCACAAAGCACTCTTTCAAGAACTGCCTCAATATTTGAGTTTGACCTCCTCACACAGCCACGCTTTCGGCAAAAACTTTAGGAGTTTTGGCTTTTTTTGGTCCTTGGCCCTCAGATTTAGAACGCTCTGCCTGAAACCCGACTATACCTGACCGCCGAGTAGTAAATGCTACTTATTTCCTATGATGCGGTAAATAAACTAGACTACTAGAGATATATTTTTCCGTAGCGCTCTGAAACCCTTTGCTGAAACTGGTGCGGCTTAGAAAACGTCATATAATGATTAATATTGAGTGATACCTCGGTAAATGAAGAAAATGCGTTCCATGACGTCACTTTGTTATCAGAAACTTTGTTATCAGGGGTAGATATAACAAATGATGCATTGGGATGCGTTTCAAGACTTCAGAGAGAAGGCGGTAGAAAAGGATAGCATGGCCGCACAGTCGTCTTTAATTTGTCTGCTTGGTTTTAAATGATCTTTAAGGTGGACTGCGCTAGCCCTAACGAACTCACCACTTCAATGTCATCTCTCCGGCCTCTACCCTCCTTATGATCTGCATTTTCGTTTCCAAAGAGAGGGATTTACGTTGTACTTTTTGCCAAGTAGGGCCACTTGCATTCGACCAGGGGTCAAGAACTTTTCAATTAAGAAGAGCCATTCTTTTGGTTTTTGTCTTTGACCAAAATAGTTCGAGAGCCGCATCACACGCAGAGCTACTTGTACACAAACATAGCAGGTGACAAATTCTGACAAACTAAATATGTGATGGAATAAAATACGTCTATTTAGTATTTATCCCCCTTAGTTATTCTTTAAAACTGTACATTTTGTCGCCACCAAGACATTCTATAGTGACGCATTCCCTGTCGTGTTTAATACATCGCTAATGATCTTTGCATTAAATTATGTTTAAGATTTACGTTTTTTGTTAATAAACGGCTGCCGGCGAGGGGGCAGCCAAAGAGTTGCAAGAGAGAAGCCAAAGAGCCGCATGCGGGCCCGAAGCCACAGGTTGCCGACCCCTGCGCTAAATGGTCATTTGGATGAATTAATGTGGGGGTAATCAAATATTTTTGTCACTGCAAAAAAACTATACAATTTTATCAACACGATGACCTCGAGCAATGGCGGGCCCGAGAGGGAGACTCCCCAAGCTCTTTGCTGATTGGATATTGATAATGTAATCAAATCCCACTCGGATGAGTTCACAGGGTACACGTAGGATTTCGTGACCAATATCATCCATAGTAGAGGTGTTTTGGGTTAGATTACGTAAATATGTGTCGTTAAATCTGCCACCACCCAACACAGCCAATTAGTGAGAGTTGTCACGTAAACAGAACGTGCCAATTCGTCCCTAGTACAGCACACCGGTGTGTTGGAGAGCCAAGCCTCAACATTTACAATCTGAGAACGACGTTTCGCTAGTAATTACAACTAGCTTCATCAGGCGACAGCCAGATTTGTGGAGAAGTCCAACTGTCTCGTTCCTTATATAGAGGCGTAGATGTGGTGACCAGGCTCCGACGCTCTTGAGTCTGTTTACGTGACAACCCTTACGAGTTGGCTGTGTTGGGTGATGGCATGTTAACGACACATTTATAGATTTACTCGATAAAACCCATAAAACCTTTACTGTGGTTCACAGGGTAAGTTTTAAATTTCATGCTTTGGAATCGCTTCTTATGAGTTCAGAAAATATATTTATTAATCTTTGCAAAAATAGGGCGGTGAAGCTTCCCTCTCTAGCCGACTTGGTTATAAAAGATCTTCGTTCCAAGAGGAGTCGTTAACAGAGGTAATACTGTATTTACTTACCTTAAAAATAAATAATTTTGTGTTACACTTAATTAGATCTGTATAAAACATGAACACGTTGCATAATGCATGGTACAGTGATATATAATTGGTAGCAACATCATCAAATTAACATGAACATCAATATTAACATGATCGATGTCATCACCCTCATCAACATTAGTTAGCCTATGGTCACATCTGCAGCATTCACTTTTTGCTGCAGAGCCACAACCCATGATCTGAATAATAGAGGTTTTTTGGGTTAGATCGCGTAAATTTGTCGTTAAAACCCGCCACCACCCGACACAGCCAACTAGTAAGGGTTGGCACGTAAACAGAACATGCGAATTCGTCACTAGTACAGCACATCGGTGTGTTGGAGACCCAAGCCACAACATTTACAATCTGAGAACGACGTTTCACCATTAATTACGTCTAGCTTCATCAGGCGACAGCGACAACGATCTAACCAAAAAAAAACCTCTTATGGATGGTATTGGTCGCGAAAGCCTACGTGTTAAACCCATGATCTGAAGATTAGCTTTTGTCTAGGAAGTTTGAAGGCCCATAGTAATATTTGCTTGGTCAAATCCTGTCGGTGCCATGGGCCGTGATGCTAGGTGCTCTGTTAAAAGGAACTGCATCATTAACATAGTTGAGATCAGTAAACAGTTGGTCCCCAACAACCGATCATCAATCATTCATCCTGTTTGTACCTAATAGAGCCAACTACTGAGTAAAGGTTTTGGTAAGCCCCTCCTTATTTTCAGGTGTAGAATACTGTGAGAATGAGCCTGCCAATTTCTTACCTAACTTGAACTCCTCCTCCATCAGCCAATTTCTTTGGCAGTGTTCTTCACTCATTTTTAGAGAAGGGCCACTTTCGCCGATAAGACATCATCAGTGTGAGGGCCGCCACACATTTTAAACCACTGGGTTTGACAGCACTATGATGGGGGAGTGTTGTCACGTGTTGTGTATTGTCGGAGGCCGCACGTCAGGAGCCCCACTAAAGGCCACCAGGGGCCGCTAGTGGCCCGCGGGCCTTGCTATGAAGAACACTGATATAGGTCGATCTGGACTGGCTATCCAGCACAGTCGTAGCACCTGTACGTGTCAAGAGTCCCGAACCTCACCAATCTGCCCTCGGCATCAGGAGAGGGGGATTATGTCATTCCGACATTTAAAAAATGCTCTTATTCTCGATATCAACGTTAACTGGACAGATCCCAAATAATTATGGGTTTGATGGTCAAGAGCAAGTATTAACAATAAGTCGTTTTTTAATTCTTACGTTAAACATTTATTTTTCAAGTTGAATATTTTTTATTATTGAAGTAATACATTCTTCGATTCGTTTTTCCTTCAGGGTAATATAACGAAATGAGACTGGAAAATGTAGGCATACAGAACAGACACGACAGTACAAGCAAGGCACTATACATAAAACAGACAGTACAAACGATACACAGTGCGAAGCAGACAGTACATTTAGACAGTAGAAACGAGGCTTAAGAGGCAAGACAAAAATGTATTGAATTGTTGCATACACGTAGCTGTGCCCTGACTCTTGTTCTACTTTAATTTCATGTTAAGGTTGAGCTTAATGAATGTGAAGATAAAGGACAATACAGAGCGGCGAACGGGCTTTGCTGCCACCTCTGTCCTCCAGGTAACCGATCAAAGCAGCAACATATTGTGACGGGCAATGCATTTACTGCTCTAAATGGTCAACCATTAGTTTGTATAATGTGTGGTTTTCATGTAGACAATATAAGCGATTGATGATTGTTTCTACAAATACTAAAATTAAGGCAATGCTTGTGTAGTGGGTTCACTGAGAGACACACAACTCAGGAGGCAACACGTTTATTCTATGACCACAACGGAGTAACTATATAAACGTAACCACAACGGGATAACTATAATACCGGTAACCACCACGGGGTCACTACATAAACGGTTCAGGTCAGTCGGCACACTGCCTGACCCACGATGCTGAGCACGAAGACCGGAGACCGTGGAGAAGATGTAGTACGGCTGGTTCCGTTCCAGCAGACAGCCCTGATGGGACCCCAGGACCTCCTTTTTATGCCCCCCAGCATGGCCTGGCTCTGCCCTCAGCCACGCCCCCTTCTGGAACGCACCAGAAGATTCTGGGCCATACACCACGTGTCCCTTCTGTCACCTTTGGCCCACATCCTTACCCTGTCCTGTTACGTGGCCTTGCCAGGCAATCGGGCTGCTATGTCCTCAGATGCCCTCTCTCTGCCAGCCACCAGAAAAATGCCCCTTTGGGACCCTTTTCCATGACATAGCACACCCTGCTGGTAGAGAGGGCTACTACGCTCCCAGTTCTCCTCTCAATCAGTAAGTGGCACCAGGCGCCGTAGTGACCCGTTATATGTCAATACATCACCCCCCCCCCCCCCCCCCCCCATAAAACTCAGCCGCCCCGGCTGACCATGATACCTCAGTTAATAAAACGAACTACTTCCAACCACAATTTTGAATGGAACAATAAAACCAATAACAACTGTCAACAAGCAAAATATGCACACTTACAGAACAAGATTTCCAAAAACAAAACAAAAATTTCCGTGAACATTCAATAACCAACCAAACCCCCAGACAATGCACACCACCCAACACCCATACGCGTGTCACAACCCATGAGCACATGAAGCACCCAGTCCAACCGGTAACACAATCCGGCACGTGCATGCGACCACTGACGGACAGCATTGGGTTAAATAGGACGCTCGAGGAGGGTCATTTAATATAGACGGACTTCGAAAGGGTCCTCGTCGCCAGACCCCCAGGCGGGGTTGGAGCGGATTCCCTGGGGGTCCCGGGGACAACTTGAAGATGGCCTAACGGGTGTGGCCCCTCCTGGGAGGAAAAAAAACCAGGAGGAAAAGGATTGTGTGCCGGCCGCTCCACTCTCTTTCATTGGCATCCGATCGGTGCAACTAGTGACTCGAAGGGTGTAAAGTGCCGGGATCTTGTGGGCGGAAGAACAGAAATCCGCTGAGGCACAACCTCCACGGACGCACGCCCCAGCTCGTCGGACACATCAGACACTGGGCCCTTGGGTAGTGGAGATGAAGGGATCCCGCAAGGCGGGAAACACGGTTTGAGCTGCGACGGATGTGCGTACCAACGCCTGCGACTAAACTGGATCTGTACATACTGTGGCCTTTTGATCTCAATCACTTCAACCGGACCCTGCAATGGTCTATACAATTTAGCGGACGTACCCACTTAAAGCCCTCCTCCGGTGACTTCCTGGTCGAGCTGCTTCCGCAGCTACAAAGACACAAGCATCTGAGCACCATGGGGAATTCTAACAGTCTCTCTCACTAGGGCTTGAACTGTCATGTTTACTGTACATAATCGAGTCGGGGAGGACAAAAACGCCAATCGACGGCCCGACAGCAGCTCAATTCACCCTTAATCCACCAAGATCTTAAGGGGCATCCTCCTAAGAAAATCGATTTCCAACAGACAGGATACAGCAAATGACTAAGAAACTAGCACCGGACCTGTCATCTGGATCTCTCCAATACAGACTGTCGCCGATATCTGACCAATGATACCCAAGGACCCGCCATTAGTGGCAAAACACGGGATTCCCACGGGGCTCAGATCACACAAATTTGGCAGCAATGTATTATAAATCACTTTTGAAATGATGGTAGCGGATGCTCCCATGTCAATGATCATCCACACCTCAACACCCTGCATGGTCTCAACGACTGCCGAAGATCCCGCCGCCGCAGCCACGATACAATATCCCAACGCCGACCACTGACCCGGAAGCCGCGGCCATCGACCACCCACCAAAACACGATTCTCATGCTCCATAACACGGCGAGGAGTAACAAGACACGAATCCGACCCGGCATGCGAACAAGATGCATGAGGTGACTGTAACGGCCTGTGGACTCAGAGGAGCGGAGGTCGGCAGGGTGATGACGCCATCATGAAAAATGTCCTTCATTTAGTACGACTTCCCCTCAAGATGTGACCCGGCAGGCCGCACTTAAAACAGATGACGTGGGCACTCCTTCGGCGAAGAAAATCCCATTCCGTTGGTCTCGCCCCCCTCGCCGATCTGCATCGCCTTTCCCCTGTGAATCAACGTCGACCGATGCGCAGACTTGGGGGGGCTCCACGCCTTCTGGGGTTTCCGCCATCTCTGAAAGTCCCACACGAGCGGCCACCCCCGCTCGACACCGGAAGTTAAAATGTGCTTGGATGCATTGCGCAACCTTGAGTGAAGACAAGTTGTCTCTTCTGTTGCGGGCAGGAAAACATTCAATTCTTGGGCCAGCATCAATATTCGTTCCAACACCAACGAGCCTAACCCAGCTTGCTCCATTTTGGGGTAGGCGGCTTGCGCCAGTGACATCAGCACACTGCGGAAGGCGAGGGGCGTCTCGGTCTCCCCCCCGTCTTTTTGTCGCACATTTGATGGCGGGTCGAAAATGACCACCATCTGGGTGAAAACTTGCGGCAGCGTCACTCAGTCCTCAGGTGGGATGGCGTAGAATGCCGCCAAGGTACCGTAATCCAAGGTGGTCAGGAGCGCCCGCAGCGCCTCCAACGCAGGTCCATCTGGCCAGGTCGCAGGTGGCGGTGAATCGCCGCTGGAACGCTTCCCAGTCACCCCCTGCGGCTGTGAATTATCTTACAAAGGGGAGCCGCTTCTTGAGGCTCAGATCACACAAACCAATAGCGGTTGAGCTATCCACTCGCGGCTCGGCACTCCGGCATCTTCCTCTGGCTCCTCCATGTCGAGTTCAGCCACCAGCGCTGCTGAAGACAACAAGTCAGCGAGGTAGGCACTGCACATTCAGCACCCTTTTCCCGACGACGGTAGCGCGGAAACGTCGGCTTCCTCCTGTTGCTCTGCCGGGAGACCCGCCTCGTGAAAATCCTCCGTGGTCGCAACACCCGGGGTTGTCTGGGAAATCACATCCCCGCTGTCTTCTTCGTCTGAAGACACCATGGTGAGAAGCTTCTTTCTTGTAAGCATCGCACTACACTAGAAGTTTCGACTAATCATTTTGAGCACTTATGATGCCAGATGTAGTGGGTTCACTGAGAGACACACTTAACTAAGGAGGCAACACGTTTATTCTATGACCACAATGGGGTAACTACATAAACGTAACCACAACGGGATACCTATATAACCGGTAACCACGGGGTAACTACATGAACGGGTCAGGTCAGTCAACACACTGCCTAATTCACGATGCCGAGCACGATGACCGGAGACCAAGGAGACGACCTAGCACGGCGGGTTCCATTCCAGCAGACAGCCCCGATGGGACCCCGGGACCTCCCTTTTATGCCCCCCAGCGTGGCCTGACTCCGCCCTCAGCCACGCCCCCTTCTGGAACTCACCATAAGATTCTGGGCCATACACCACATGTCCCTTCTGTCACCTTTGGCCCACATCCTTACCCTGTCCTGTCACGTGCCCTTGTCAGCCAATCGGGCTGCTACGTCCAGAGATGCCCTCTCTCTGCCAGCCACCAGAACCATGCCCTTTGGGGACCCTTTTCCATTACATAGCACACCCTGCTGTCAGAGAGGGCTACTCACTCCCAGTTCTCCTCTCTATCAGTAACAGGCTCCTGGTGCCATCGTGATACATTATATGTCACTACACTTGCAGCAGAGCATTTCTATAATATACCTGGGAAGGTTAAAGTTGATCACCAATGGGCTATATTATATTTAAGCAGCGTTTCAGTACTCAGCTGGGTGTCAATGACCATTTCGAGTAATTGGCTGCGAAACATTTTCATTTGATGAGCTATCATTTGTGGCCAGGTCGCTTCTGAAAAAGAGCTATATAGCTCAGTGGGCCTTACCTTGTAAAAAGCTAAAACATTCCGAAATGTCTTTTTTCATTGCTCAAACTAATGATCTTGTGATATGTATTACAGCAGGCCAGAGAGTAACATGAAAAGGCATCAGAAATGAATGTTTTGGAATTAATATTATGCTTTGTATAAATAACGTCATCAATTAAAAATGCATCCACATTGAATAACGCGTTTGAAGTAAAAGTATTGAAATGTAATATTTAATCAAACAAAAGTAATTTCCTGACAACATGATTACTTGAACTTGTCCATTTTACAGGAAGCAAGTGGCTTTATGACTGCTTTTACAATGGCGACCAATCTTTATGCACACCTTGCATGCCAGGGAAGGACTACATGGACGATGCACACCGTGATCCTCAATGCAAAAAGTGCAGCACCTGCAATCTTCTCTGTAAGAGTTCCACATCAGTAGGTTTTGGGTGTGTATATAGGTGTTATTTGAGTGTGGAGATGCATGGAACAAAGGTTAATAAATCACTCTAAGTGAAATTAAACAAACAGGTTAAGTAACCAAATGGATGAGAAAGTTCGTTATATCACCTTGCAATTGGTTAGAAAGTAGGTCGTGGTGTATGATATATTTTAAAAAGAAGACAAAGGTCTATGCAATCCGAGGTTGTTTCAAAGCATGTTTCTGCATAGGCTGCACTTTACATTCCATCTGTGGATGTACCATACATGACGAGGGTCAATCCATGATGAGAAAGGTGGGCTGAGAAAAATAATTTTCAGGTTTTTTAATGGGGTCACAACACTCCAAGTGGGACGCGCTTTACTCCACAAGAGGCTGTGGTCGGTGCTTGACGGCAAGGGCAGACAGTGGGCCCCAATCCTCGAGCTGATCTTCCTTGATCTTAACTTGAGCAGGCTGCTATCCATCTTGTTGCTACATATGACGATCGTCTTTCTTCATTCATGAGAAAGGGCCTCCATCTTAAATAACTTAAAGAATTCTAGATTTGAAGTTTTCGTGACTGCAAAGATCCATACTCTTTGGTTCTTTCGGTAAAGTCACGTTGGTAAAAAAAAGTTAATTCAATCGCGACATTTCGATTGCAACACAAGCAATCATCATCAGGTGTGAAAACCACAGCAAGAATTTGTTTTAACTGAAGTGGGAGAGATGCCGGGGTTAAGGGGGTTATACAGCGAGGGAAAAAAGTATTTGATCCCCTGCTGATTTTGTACGTTTGCCCACTGACAAAGAAATAATCAGTCTATAATTTTAATGGTAGGTTTATTTGAACAGTGAGAGACAGAATAATAACAAAAAATCCAGAAAAAACGCATGTAAAAATGTTATAAATTGATTTACATTTTAATGAGGGAAATAATTATTTGCCCCCTCTCAATCAGAAAGATTTCTGGTTCCCAGGTGTCTTTTATACAAGTATCAAGCTGAGATTAGGAGCACTCCCTTTAAGAGTATGCTCCTAATCTCAGCTCGTTACCTGTATAAAAGACACCTGTCCACAGAAGCAATCAATCAATCAGATTCCAAACTCTCCACCATGGCCAAGACCAAAGAGCTCTCCAAGGATGTCAGGGACAAGATTGTAGACCTACACAAGGCTGGAATGGGCTACAAGACCATTGCCAAGCAGCTTGGTGAGAAGGTGACAACAGTTGGTGCGATTATTCGCAAATGGAAGAAACACAAAAGAACTGTCAATCTCCCTCGGCCTGGGGCTCCATGCAAGATCTCACCTCGTGGAGTTGCAATGATCACGAGAACGGTGAGGAATCAGCCCAGAACTACACGGGAGGATCTTGTCAATGATTTCAAGGCAGCTGGGACCATAGTCACCAAGAAAACAATTGGTAACACACTATGCCATGACGGACTGAAATCCTGCAGCGCCCGCAAGGTCCCCCTGCTCAAGAAAGCACATATACATGCCCGTCTGAAGTTTGCCAATGAACATCTGAATGATTCAGAGGACAACTGGGTGAACTTGTTGTGGTCAAATGAGACCAAAATGGAGCTCTTTGGCATCAACTCAACTCGCCGTGTTTGGAGGAGGAGGAATGCTGCATATGACCCCAAGAACACCATCCCCACCGTCAAACATGGAGGTGGAAACATGCTTTGGCGGTGTTTTTCTGCTAAGGGGACAGGACAACTTCACCGCATCAAAGGGCCATGTACCATCAAATTTTGGGTGAGAACCTCATTCCCTCAGCCAGGGCATTGAAAATGGGTCGTGGATGGCTATTCCAGCATGACAATGACCCAAAACACACGGCCAAGGCAACAAAGGAGTGGCTCAAGAAGAAGCACATTAAAGTCCTGGAGTGGCCTAGCCAGTCTCCAGACCTTAATCCCATGGAAAATCTGTGGAGGGAGCTGAAGGTTCGAGTTACCAAACGTCAGCCTCGAAACCTTAATGACTTGTAGAAGATCTGCAAAGAGGAGTGGGACAAAATCCCTCCTGAGATGTGTGCAAACCTGGTGGCCAACTACAAGAAACGTCTGACCTCTGTGATTGCCAACAAGGGTTTTGCCACCAAGTACTAAGTCATGTTTTGTAGAGGGGTCAAATACTTATTTCCCTCATTAAAATGCAAATCAATTCATCACATTTTTGACATGCGTTTTTCTGGATTTTTGTTGTCGTTTTTCTGTCTCTCACTGTTAAAATAAACCTACCATTAAAATTATAGACTGATAATTTCTTTGTCAGTGGGCAAACGTACAAAATCAGCAGGGGATCAAATACTTTTTTCCCTCACTGTATAAGTCAGAGAGGGGGGGGAAGGGAGGGGGGGATAAGGGGAGAGGGGGGGCGTTGCGTGGACGTTAGGGACTGGGAACGTGAGACTGGGCGGTGGGGGGGGGGAAGTTGGCGTGGCTGGAAGCGAGAGGCTGAGGGAGCTGGAGATGCGTGGGGGGGAAGAGAAAGCGAAGCAGTGGCAAGGACTGCAGCCAAAACCGATGAGGGCACCCAAAGCAAAATAGCAGCACTGCTAAACGCTGGGGATGCAATTAACTCGATAAAATAGACTAGTGCCTGATAAATAAGATGGGACAACTATGAACAGTTACATTTTTACCTGGTTAATAACATCTTTCAAATGATTGCGCAATTTGTATCCATCTTCTTGGTTGAAGTCATGCCTATGTTTGTACATCTGGATGGCTTCATGAGCAAACCTTCGATAGTAGCCATACGGCATACGGTTTGCAGAGTACCCTGGTCTCGGAAAAAAACAATATCATGAGAGCCCACAGCGTTATAGCAATGATCAGCAACGGCGGAGGAATTAATTCTGCCATGTTTCAGATCTGACTTGTGCTCGCGGATACGGTCAGAGACATGACGTTTCGTTTTCCCAATGTAAGTCACCACAGATGCAACTTAGTTTGTAGACACCAGGGTATTGCAAGTCAGGAATGGCATCCTTTACAGATGAGATTAGATTACGGATTTTGTGTACTGTACTGAATCGGACCTGGATCTTCTGTTCGTTTAAGATTTTAGCAATCTTTTTGGTAACGCCTGCTATGTATGGTAACTTAAAGAATATGACCATCACAATATTGAGCTGCTCAGAAGAAGAAGAAGATGGCACAAACAGTTTGAACCGGTACTCCCCGATCACACTGCGGTCCAGCAGACCGCAGTCAGGAGGGTGAGGACAAGATGGCGGGTCGGGTTTCACATAAATTGGCTCAAGAAGTTGCAGAAGTTGAAAAGGCACTATAGACAAAAGAGGAAATGTATAATAAGTCGGGAATATAAGATGGTCTAAGAACAAAACTATATACTATTAGAATACTAAAATCTGAAATGAAACCGTAAAAAAGAGGATGAATCAATGCACAGGAACCTGGGGAGAGTGAAATAATATGCAGAGGTGACATCATTGGAAGATCTAGCAATTCCTGTTTAAGAGTTGAGATTAATATATCCTGGTTATTTACAACTCACCTATAATGTCCACAATTACAGTCAATAAGGTCCATGGCAACATCCACTAAGCCACTATCTCCAATGCTGGCAGATTACAGGGCAATGTCGCCCGAATAAATTGTGTTTCTAGTCTTCTCATACACACAACGCCAGGTGATACAAATTGAATACTACGCAGCATTAAAGAGGAGAGGCAACATCTATGACTTTTTAAACTGCCATCGCATGAGCCCCTCATCTCATCTCTGATGAACCTCCACAGGTGAGACGAGACTAGATAAACTGACCTCATGTCGCCTCGGTTATAATTCCAATAATTGTTTGAGTTGAGCTGCGTTGCGGCATGCATTCTCGAATGCCATGCCACAGGTAAATGTGACCCGCTGTTCGATTATAATGATCAGCGAGTGACTCCTCTAATCCATACCTTCTAATCATAATCTTCATTTTCACTGAAGGAATCCGATTAGCTGTGAGGTTCCTTTTGACAGATATCTAGGAGGAGCGGATCAGCAAGTTACAACAAAGATTCGTTTAAATTTTTATTTAAAGCTTTCGTGGCTGCAGGGATTCATATTCTTGGTTCTTTCGGTAAAGTCACGTAGAAGGGAAACAATAAAATAATAAAATATAAAACAATAAAATTTTCACGACGTTTCGACTGCAACACAAGCAATCATCAGGTGTGAAAACCACAACAAGAAAATTTGAAAAAAGTGGCGTTTTTTTCCCGTTATGATTCGTTTATCAATTACCCTGTTCTCCACAGCCATCAAATATTATACAAGTTCCATCGTATTACCAAATTGTAATGTACACTATGCTAAAGTTATAGCTACTTGGGACATATTGCCAAGACCAACATTTTGTACATTAAACAAACAGTACAGTACTGAAATTAAACTAAGTTTCCTTTTGTTCTCTGATGTGTAGATGAAGATGTTCAACAGGACTGTACTGTCACTAGTGACACTGTGTGTCAGTGTAAGGATGGATACAGTCGGGCTCATCCTTCACAGCCTTGTGGGGTCACATCAAACACAGGTGAGAAATTTAACACGTAGGCTTTCGCGACCATTATTCATAATAAAGGTTTTTGGGTTAGATCGCGTTATTTATAAATGTGTCGTAACCCTCCACCACACGACACGGCCAAACAGTAAACAAAGTGTCACGTTGACAAAGACAAATAGTTCACTACTTTAGCCCACTGGTATGTTGAAGAGTGAATCCACAACATTTACAGTTTGAGTACGACGTTTCGCTGGTAATTACGATTTTTAAAATGTATTCAGTGTCTCAGCGGAGAAACAAAACAAAGAAAAAACCGAGGGGCCGCCCCCTCCCTCTCACCGCGAAGGCCCCGCTCGGCCACCAACCCATCCTCAGGACCGGAGTCGCCCCCGACACAGCACTCGCCAAATCTGTGGCTGGAGGGGCTGCCTCCTCCCCCCCCCCCCCCGGCCGCCCTAACCCACCCTGGGTAGCGGCCACTTCCATCTTTCCCTTGCCACTTCGTGTCCCAGTCTCACCCAGTCCACCTCCACCACCCTCTCCAACAACCTCCTTGCCACATAGCATGCCTCCAATGGGGACATCTGGGACCCCTCCAGCTCCTTCTTGCGCGCTTTCCACAAGGCCTCCTTCGTTGCTTCTATTATAGCCCACGCCCGGTCCCTGTCTTCCCTTCCCACACCCCGCAGTTCCCCCCACATAATGTCCCGTGTTGTCCCCCTCGACAGTGCGAACCGGGCCAACAAATGCTTGCTCCGCCTCCACACCTCCTGGGCAAAGGGGCATGCCACCATCACGTGCACTGCACTTTCGTCCCCGTTGCAGCCCCTCGGGCACTTGGGGGTGTGTGCCATTTGGCGGCCGTACATAAAACCCCTCGTTTCCAGCTTGTCCTGGACTGCCAACCATGACAAGTCCCTCTGTTCCTTCGTGAGTGCCGCCGACATGTTTCTCCAAATTTGTCGGTGCACCTCCCTCCTCGCACCTGGCACCTCATCACAGGCCTCCTCTTTCTCCGCCTCGGCCCGCACCTCTCTGGGGGTCCACCGGCCCCCCCACCGGTTCAGGCCGTGCTGCCCAATGTAGTGCCCCACCACGTTGCTGATCCAGCCCCCCGGCCAGTCCAAAGGTATACTCCTCTCTGCCTGGGTCATCCCGAGGCCCCGCAGGCGCCACGTCAGGCGATACCGTATGTAACACGCCGCCTTGCCCCGCGGCTCTGCGGAGAAGAACAGTCTCAGCGCGTTACATGCAAAGGTCGAGTTCAGGGTGTACTCCACATTTGGGGCGCCCCTCCCCCCGTTCCCAACCCGCATACACAGCACGGCCCTCCTCACCCTCTCCATCCCTCCCCCCCAGATAAACCCGAAAAGCGCCGAGGTCAAAACCTTGACCTCCCTTTTACCAGGTGGGAATACCTGCGCCAGGTAGCTTAAAGTTGGCAGTATCTCCATCTTCACCACCATAATCCTGCCAGCCATCGTGAGCTGCCTCCCTGCCCACTTACCCTTATCAATTCCCTCATTGCGTTATCTCCCTCCCTACCTGTTTTGAAGAAAAACCTCGTGCACCTCTCCCCTTCCTCCGTTGCCCTTCTTTCCAATACTGAAGCCCTAGCTCTAGCAGCCTGTACATTTTCTCCAGCCTGGCATTCCACTGCCTCAATTCCCTACCCACTCCCCTCCTCCTACTATGATGCTGGAAGAGCGTTTTTATCCTGTCCTTTATCTGGCCCCACCATTCCACCCTCGTGGGGAACCAGTCCTGTAGGGTCCTCCAGCTTTTGTATTTTTGTACGAAGTCCCCCACCACTTTCTGGTCCTCCAACAGACCCACATTCATTTTCCATACTCCTTTCCCTCTCCTCGCCCCACCTAGGATCGCGAGCCCTGCCACGACCATTTTGTGGTCCGAGAGGGGAAATGGCTCCACCCCCGCACTTCCCACTTCTACTTTGGCAGAGGCGAAAATAAAGTCTCTCCGCGACTGCGTTCCCCCGCTCTCATCTGACCACGTATACCCGAGCCGTGCACCATGCACCCTCCTGAATGCGTCTACCATACCAAAGTCCTCCATCAGCTCTTTCAGCTTTCTGGAGGAAGAGTCCAATTTCCTCCTCCCCTTTGTCGACACCAGGTCCGCCAAATATAGCGGGCAGTTGAATCACCCCCTAAAATTACTTGTCGCCTGGTGGCCAATAGGGTCGCCAAGCTCTCCCACACCTCTACCCTTTCCATGCATCGTACCGGGGCATACACGTTCACCAGCCGCAACTCCACGCCTTGGTAGGATACATCCACACAAAGGAGCCGGCCCGGTATCACTTCCTGGGTCCCTTCCACCCTCATTTCCCTCCTGCCTAGGAGGGTAACCACCCCAGTACACCGGTTCCCATTGCTACCCGACCATACGTAGTGGCCGTTCCAATCTTCCAGCAGGACTTCCGAACCCAGGGTGAACGGTAGGTGGCACTCTTGAAGGAAGGTCACGTCTCTTCTGGTGGTCTCTAACAGGTGCATGATTGCCCCTCTCCTTCCCTTCCCCTTCATCCCTCTCACGTTTATAGACGCCACGGAGAGGTCCATGCCAAAGTGTATTTTATTCCGTTTCCGATTCCGCTGCACGCTCCCCCCATCCGCCCTTGACCGCCTTCTCTCTCACTTTCTTCCTCCCCTTCAACCTCTGGGGCTTCTCCCGGTTCAACCGTCCCCCCCCCCTTCCGCCCTCCTCCACCCAGACTCCTCTGTGTCCAGCGAGGAGCCTGAAGGGCCCGTGTCATGTAGGGAGCCAGCCCCTTTTAGGGCTCTGTCCAATTTCCTCTTCCTCCCAACCGTTTCCTCCCATGCCCCGACAGCTCCTTCCTCCACCCCTTGCTCCCCCTCGCCTTCCTCCTCGCCCATTGCCTCCGCCCAGTCTCCCACTGGGGTTCCTGGGTCTTCTCCCCCGTCTTTCCTCTCCTCCTCCCCCGCTCCCAGTCCAGTGGTGGTGTTGCTTCCCTCCCCACAGGTCCCCCTCCCTCACCCCCCCCCGGGGGGTCATGGTTCCGCCGCCTCTCCTTCCTCCTCCCCACCAAGCTCCCGGCCCGATTCCCGTCCGGCCGCCTCCTCCACTACCTCCACTGCTTGTCCATTCCGGTATGCCCGCACCCTGTTGGCATATGATTCTATACAAATGCCTTCTGCTACCGCAGAGGTTGCATCGGACCAGCTCCCCGCACTCCTCCACCGTGTGATCCGGCGCCTTGCACCTGTAGCAGATCCGTGCCTCGCATGCCGCCGCCAGATGCCCCCTTCCCCCACACCTCCTACACAGTTTGGGCTGGCTCGCGTATACGACGTACCCCTTGTTCCCCCCGATGTTCAAGGCGCTCGGGATATGCTTCAGAGCCCCCCCCCCCCTCCGTCTTCAGGCGCACCCTCCACTGCCTGGCCCATGTCCATATCCCCGCCGAGTCCTGCACCCTCTTGCAGCCAGATAACAGCATGCAGTGCTGCCTTAACCACACCTCCACATCCTGGTCATGTAGTGCCTCGTTGTACAGGAAGACGACAACCTTCGTTTCCAGGTCTGACAGCAGCCGCGTCCTCATGGATGTCAGGGGCTTCTCCCCTGCCCTCTCCTCGAAGCGGGTGAGGAAATTCTGCAGCAGGAGATTTGAATTAAAGCTCACGTAAAAAGCTCTCCTCCCCGGCAGAGCAATCAGGCAGTAAAGATCCGCCACCTCCACCCGCAGCATCCCAAGCATCACCGACCTCACAAAGGTCGTTCTATCCAGCGTCACCTCCTCCTCCACGTCGTCCTTGAATTCCACCCTGACGCAGTTGTGCCTCCTGGCGTGCATTGGCGTCAAGCCCGCCTCGGCTCCACTGCGCCACCTCCCCGCTCCTTCGCTGGGTCTCCCCCCTCCCACCGGGCCAGCGTTCACTGTCCTCTCCCTCCACTGTCCCTCCCGCGGCCCCTGGCTTGCTGGCACCCCTCCTGCTTCTTCCCCTGTGCTCTGCTCGGGGGCACTCCATCCCTATCCTCCCGGCGCTTCCCCTCATCCTCTTCGCTCCTCCCTCCCCGTCCCCTCCGGCCCATCCACCATCTCCACACCCTTTCCTCGCTGCACCTCCCCCATCATCTCCCCCGCTCCAGACGGGCCCGCGCCGTCTCTCCTGTCACTCTCGGCCCTGCGGGCACCCACCATGGTCCGTGGCGTACGCCGCGTCTCCGTCTCCTTCCCTGCCGTCTCCATGCACTCGTTGCGGTGAGATCACCTTCCCCGCAGCGCGTGTGGCCCCCCCACCCTCCGGCAGCAAGGCCACCCCAGACCGCCCGGCCTGGGGCCCTCGCAAAACCCGGGGTGGCTGGAGAGTCCACGGGATGCCGACGTGTGCCGCAGCGGCACTTCAGGAAGAACAGGAACGGGTTTCGCTGGTAATTACGGTTTTTAAAAATTTATTCAGTATCTCAGCGGAGACAGCAAAAACAAAACAAAGCAAAAACCGAGGGCCCGCCCCCTCGCTCGCGCCATGAAGGCCCCGCTCAGCCACCGACCCACCCTCTGGACCGGAGTCAACCCTGCCACAGCACTGGAGGGGCAGCCTTCACCCCCGGACGCTGGTGCCCCCCTCCCCCCCCCCCCCTGACCGCCCTAGCCCACCCTGGGTAGCGGCCACTTCCTTTGTTCCCTTGCGGCATCGCGCCCCATTTTCACCCGGTCCCCCTTCACCACCCTTTCCAACAATCTCCTCGCAACATAACTTGTCTCCAACGGGGACATCAGGGACCCCTCCAGCTCATTCGTTCACGCTTTCCACAGCGCCTCCTTCGTCGCTCCTATTACAGCCCACACCTGGTCCCTGTCCTTCCTCCCCACCCCCCGCAGCTCTCCCCACATGACGTCCCGTGCCGTCACCCTCGACAGCGCGAAACGGGCCAGCAATGGCTTACTCCTCCTCCAGACCTCCTGGTCTGGAGGAGGAGTAAGCCATTGCCACCATCACATGTGCTGCAGTTTCGTCCGCGTTGCAGCCCCTCGGGCACTT